CATGCTGCAGACTTTCAGACTGTGGCGAAGGCGCACCCTCGAGAGCGACTTGCAGATGCCGGTGTCCGAAAGCACCCGGCAACCTAGCCGATGAGGAGCAGAATAGTAACTCAAGTATTACAGGTCTTGCCTACAACCGTCTTAATTAAGAGCGAGCAGGAAGCAAAGTTAAACAGTTCGCCTTGATCGTGGCAAAGAAGGGCAGTGTGTGGAGGTATGGACTTAGCAAAAGGTTTCCAGTGGATCGACGGCTGGAACGAACAAACCCTAGCAACGCCGCTCACATGGTGCCTGTCCGTTTTATACCCGCCTTTGGACCCTTGGCAACCCCCCCCCCCCCACCCAAGAATTGCCTGAACCATTGGAGCCTAAGACCTTACACTTTCGACCCTTGCCTCCTACAGGTTCCAAACTTGACAGCGTAGGCCGCAAATTATCAAGCAGCACAGCCCAAGGCCCTAGACACAGCTAACCGCTCCTGAACAAAAAAAACTCACGACACGCGTTGGTGGCGGTGGTCGTGCTAGAAGTAGTGGTGGTAGAAAAGTCAGACGAGCAAGGCTACTACTGCTACGACGACGACTACCACTCACTAACTACCACCACCACCACGGCTGCCCACGACCACGACCACCACGACGACTACTACTAACTCTGCGACTACTACCGGAAACACTGCTGTTGCAGCTGCTGCGGCTGGTGCTACGACTGCCACTTGTCCTACTCCTACTCCCACTCCGCCTCCACCTCCTGCTGCTCCCACTCCTACTGCTTGTGGCGCTGCTCCTCCTCCTTTTGCTGCCAGTACGACTGCTACTTCTTCTTGCAAACTATGTCAGCTAAAGCGGAGGGGTGTCTTCGAGACTTCGTGATGCTAACATGTCATGTAACATGCTTGAATCTTCTAGGGCCTTGCTGTGTTTCTCTTGGCACCCGCACCATCCAACCTGGAGCCTGGTAGTGGGTGCCATATTAGGATCATTGGGGCAACAAAGTCTGATCACCAGGGCATGCACTGGCTTGCCGACCACGTGCCCAGCCAACAGCGCGGTGCGAAGTGCGGCAGTCGAGGACAACTGAGCTCTTGGAAAGTGGATTTTAGGGTCTCGGGGCTCAGTGTCAATCGCCGAACTTAGAGATTGTGCATGTGATTTGTAGGAAGGCGAGTAACAACACTAGAGGCTTTACTGGGAACATCGTCAACAAAACCGCCATCACCATGATTATTCGTCATAGCCACAATCATCATCACAACCTCAACCTTCTTCATCCCCCATCATCAGCATCATCGTCAGCACGACCAGCAGCATCACAACCAAATCCAGCCCCAAACCACCTCCAACTATCGCGACGATTCTTGAAACTGAGCTGGAGTCTTGGTACACTGGCCTGCTTCAACCAAATGTTTGGGCACTTGGATCCCAAAGCAAGCGGCAACGAAAACATACCAGCGGTTCGCTCCAAAGGATGCTAGAGGGGAATGTTCGTAGATGTGGTTCCGATCGCCATTTGTTCCAGCAGCCCATCTCCGAAAGGAGCTGTGTCTCGATATTGGTCTGAGGATTGCAAGAAGTGCAAATTCAGCATGTTGATGGCTGAATGGGCTGTAGGATCGGGATTCTGTAGTTTAGGTTTGTGCACTTCGGTTTTGGGGCTTCTAGGGGCTGAGGGTAGCAGGCTTCTGAGCTCCTCAAAGGGTAGAAACGAGCCTCTTTGTCAGAGAACTCCGACGGAGAATGTGCAATGAACAATGTAGCAATGTTTCGTGATGGCACTCCTCGTCGAGGGCTTAAGACTACCTCTTAATGTCTTACGAGTGAACTCGTCCGAAGCCTTGAGCATCATAACTTGAGCCGCAGCACTTTGGGTTTGAAGTTAATGGGGCGAAGCCGAAGCTTCGATAAGCCGACAGCTCGTGCTGCTTGTCCTATCATTGGCTGACACGGGAATCTGGAAACATTTACAAAAAAACACTCCTGAATCCTAAACTTCCTAAACCCTTGCAAGGTTCAGTCTGTTGAGGCTCGGGCCATCGATCCACACGAACGGCAAAGGCTTCAGGACAGAACGTATTCGTGTCGTTTGCGCATACGGATAAGGTGGTGGCTAGTGACCGTTCATGGTGTGGGCGATCGCCAGTGTATTGTCGCTGCTAGTCTGTTGAATGAGCTCATGTCATGACATGGTAGACAGCATGCCACGGCTCAGCTGCGGGGCAACGACTCGCGTGGGTTCAGCCCTACTTGCCAATCTCCGCCCAAAAGCACAACGGAAGTGGTGGTGAGGGTCTTATGAGCCGGTCTAAGGGTGGGGTTGTGTCCAATCTCCGAGTTGAAGGCATCTTGCACGGGAAGGAGTTACGCATCTAAATTCTGCGTTTGGAAAGACTACGGTACAGATTGGAACTGGGGACATTGCAGGGGTGCTTCTCGCCTGGAAGCCTGAACTCGAACACGTCACATTTCTGAAGCTGTTTGCATCAACGTACGACGTGCTAAGGCTTAACTCAGGTTAGGCTAGATTCTAGGAGGACTCGGGTCGTTTAGCTTTCAGGGTTCATGGCAGCAACAGCTCCGTGAGCCCCTAAAGATGACTGTTGAATTCTCTTGATCTCTCTCTCTCTCTCTCTATCTATCTCTCCTTCGCGCTCCAGATTCCGCATTCTATTCACTCTCCACATATCCCTGTCACCAGTGTTGTGACGAGTTTCCAGGGCTATCTGCAGCCAGCAATACCAAAGGAAGCGTTGTCTCATGATTGTCGAGCGCATACTGACGGTGCTCGTACTAACATAGACACGAAGTCTCTTGTCACGGCTGCATATGGGACTTTTCAACGTGCTTTCTCATTGGGCGGGGCCTTTGGCCGGCGCCTTGGGAGTCAAACGTGTGATGGCTCGTCCGCGCGGCGGATGCTTTGTCATTGTCCTCTGCCTGAACTGCAAACCCGACTTTAAACATGCGGTGATGATGACACATTCATCGAAAAATGAATCCACAGGCTGACGACATATCGGACCGAAAGCATCCACCGGCTCATCCTTGCCGGGTGCACAGGGTAGCGCTTTCGCCTGTTCGCCGTCTCTATCTTGGATGGGGGGCTTGCCTGAAGACGGTTGAGCCTAAGCTGGTACTTTCGCAGCCCAAAAATGACTTACATCCGCAAGCCCGGCAGACCTTGACCAGCCCTGTGGTCCCAGCGTGGGCATTTTCGGATAGGGGAGGTGAGACGGCGCAAAGCACCATGGCTCCGGATTTGATCGACTGTGCCATGTCTTTTATAATAGGGGCTGTACGGTTGTACGACCGAGGGTTCTGTAAGTCTCAAGCGTTCCATGGGTCGGCCTCAGCGGCCCACGCGCGAGGAGCTGCGGCCTCGTGCACACACGGGCTTGGCTTCTTTTGATCGTGGAGGGCCGAGTAGGGGTCTAGATGGGTTTAAGAGGTTTGGGTTCCGGGCCTCGACTTTTACAACGCTTTGCACTCTCGGTTTCGGATGCTTGGACAAGAAGATGATGACACAAAGCGGGGTGGAGGGGGGGTCTCGAGCCGTACTCATGTTGGGTTCGGGGCAAGGTGATGAAGGGTTGGGGCTGCAAGGTTTCAACTGCCATAACTCGGGTGAACAAAGCAGGCTGTGCTTTTGAGCACCCAGTTGGGTACTTTGTCAGCGAGGCTTCGAACATCTTCGAACCTCCAAGACGGGGCCCGCCAGTTGCCATGCCCCGACAACAGTCGTAGCAAGCGACGATTCCTAGATTCCTGCATTTCGAATCCGGTGGGGGTCCCTTGGAGTTTCTTGTTTTTGGATGGCTTTGGTTAATTTTTGTGTAGAGTAGACCTGACATGCAATGGCAATACATCGTTGGAGCTGCTGCGGGCTCTCCCTACCAAGTAGTTGCTATTGAGAGCATTTTTGGTTGAGTGACTCTTCTTTTTTCAAACTACCCGACCTGGTTGCATGATTCTTGGGACTGTTTGATTGTGAGATCAGATGTTTCTTTCCCAAGCGGGACGGAGACCGCTCAACTTCCTTAAACTGGCCTTACACTGCAAGGTTGCCTTTTCTCACACCTGAAGCGCCACACGCTCGGTGTACTTCATATGATGCTGCGGCTAGATGTTGCCGTGCTTGCATCCGCGCTGCAGTCTACATGCGCGGTGGCGTCTACGAGGTCCTGTACATGATCACATGTACCCGGTACTCCCGGTTCTACAACTGCTCTGGGTCCAAACGCGGCCATCTCGTCGTGCTGCTGCGACTCGCGCCATTGCGAAGTTGCTGCGCCGCGAGGAAGTCGAAGAACAATTGCCTCTAGTAATATACATCCAGGGGTCTTTAGCTTCGGCTCAGCACACATACTTGAACAAAAGGACTTAATCATACATTATCATACCTTATGCAAGCTTGGTGCAGGGGCAGGCCCAGAGGCTGGAGCAGTTCAATAGGCTGGCGTACTACGTACCCTGAGCTGTTTCTGTATGTTCGGACTCCGAGCCTCTTCATTGGACATGATCGTCTTCGGCATAGTCCAAAATACGGGGGGGTGGGGGGGGGGGGGAATTATTGAAAGTACGCGGAAGAAGAGGCAGCAAACTGCAAAATCACAAACGATACGAAGCGAATAGTAGTTTGTACCTTGCAGTCGAGTTCGTTCGGATTTTCAGGCGGTGATAGTGAGTAGTGGCCTGCACTACTCCGACTCCTATTTCCAGTGCTGCGGCTACTATGGCTACGACGACGACCACCACGGCCACCACCGCCACCACCCCCAGCACCGCCACCGCCACCACCGCCAGCGTGATCGTTAATTTAATGTGTCCAATGTAAACACAAACCTAAGGCCCGCAGCACAACCTCACCCTGCCGTGTACAGCACGATCTGAACGCACAAAAAGTCTGACTCAGGCTTTCAGTCAATTTCTGCCCGGCAGCTGGCCGTCGAAAACTTCAATCCTCAATCCTAAACGCAAAAAAAACCTTGTGCAGCCAACTTACGGTCAAAGCCATGGGCTCCATCCGTAGAACATTTTGCAAAGGTTGTTCGTATCTGTGGCCTCGTGGATGACCTGGCCGACACATGCACTGACTCAGAACCGAAAGGAGCCCAATGCTATAGAGTACACCTGGAAATCCGTTACGACAGGTGCTGTGCTAATCCAGAATTAAAGCATTTCATGCGCGGATATCGAATCGGACTCCGGGATCATAAATACCCCAACCCAAAACACCGGACCTGGACGCATAATCCCCTGAAGTTTGCTGTTGAGGGTTTAGGAAGTCCAGGGTGATTTTCTGGGCTGAAGCGAAAGATCCTCAAGAAATGGCACTGTTACTCGTAGTCGTGTATATCTATGGCATCAATGTGGACATTCCGAGGCACTGCTGGTTCCTGGCATGAAGGGATGCCGTGCTGACAGGTTAAGTATGTCGCGCACCAGATGGGATCAGAGTTTAGTTCAGAACAGTTCAGGGGGCGTACGTTCGGTATTGTTGCGGGCCAAAGTGTTAGACCACTAGTCACTAAATTTCAAGCCGAGATGCCCTGCCCACGTGTGCCGGGACGCCCAGAGACGTGGCAAAGCCCTGTGCCTCGCCCAGCAACTTCGCCTGGTTGCCCCTTTATATAAGATTGCACCAAGGGGGTCAGTGGCTATAGTATGGGGCTCGGGGGTTTGGTTCTTCAACTCAAGTTTCGGTGATTTCGGCCGAGAGTTGAATGCTCGAGCCTCTAGCAGACTCTAGCTGTTTCAAAACGCAGGACACTCAAGAAACCAAACCCTAGCCGGAATAGCTCCGCAGCTCTGAGCAATGCATGGCCCCGATTATTTCCACGGACCTGAATCAACAGCCAAGGGCACCGTAAAACCCCTGAGTTGAGATTCAATAAACATAAACAAACGTAAACCATACACTCAAAATCATAAACCCCAACAGAATCTCCCGCGGGCCGAGCCTTCACGTTCACCAAGGCTCTCTTGGCCATCTCATTGCCCTGCACGTCCTGGGAAGAACGCTATCGGCGGCAATCGTTGCCGTCGCAGTCGGACCATGATGATACGCACAATAAAAAGCGCAGACATGCTGAGCTAGATGATGACGGATGTGACGATGCACATGCCGGGCACATGGAAACCACAACAATGACCGAAGCAACAAACACTTGACACTTTATATCATGCTAGTCACAGCCCCAAGGTGACTCCCCTCCGGCAGCATCCCGGTAACCCTTTTTTGAACCCGCTCTGAGCACGGTACAAACCCTGAAGCCCAAAAACCCGTGAATTCCAAAATCCAAGTATTGTTTGACTCAGGCACAGAGAGCATCGTTCGCGGGCCTTGCCCGGGTTTGAAACTTGAAGTATTTGTTTCGGCTTGATCGATATTTACTACAAGTACTACAATTTGTTTCAGGGGTCCTCTGCCAGCGAAACTGCCGTTTGAGCGTAGCTTTGAAGTGGCTCGAAGCTCAAGCCGCCTAAAGACCTAATCTCACAGCCTGAACCCCATCTTAAGAACATGAGTAACAGCTTCGATGTATAAGGAGCCAAACCTGTCAGGACGACCATGTGCTTCCGGACTATGACTGAGGAAGATCTCGCCGTGCGCACTTTTCAAAGACCATTGGCAATGAGGGGTCGCCCCCGAAGCCCTTTTTCATTCCCTTGGTTGTGGCCTTGAACTCCCAGAAGCGCTCACACCTCAAGCGATCTGCTCTGTCCAAGCCTGAGGTTGCGTTCTGCTCCGGCTCGCTCTGATGCGATCGGCTTGGCGTGAGCGACCATTTGTAGAGGGGGTCGTGCACAAAGACTTCGGTCACCTTGGACGAATATCGGCTTTCAGCTGAAGCTTCGAACATGCGCCTGTCAGGACATCGAACTGCCTCACCACCACCACCACCACCACCACCACCACCACCACCACCACCACCACCACCACCACCACCACTGCTACAATTACAGAGGCTGCGCTGCAAGTGGATAACCATTCCTGGTGCAGGTTCGCAGCACTGTTGCAGCCGCCAACTCTGATTTGCTGCGGAGCTGCGGCAATGACAAGCGTGGAACTCCCGCGGAGCACCTAGCAAAGCCAAGTCTCCGGGTCCCGCGCACTTCGAAGATAAAGGTACGGAATTTCGGCTTTGGCTAGCCACAGACTTCATTACCAGAAGGGTCTTTCGTTCTAACGCTGTTATCAGCTGCCGCATCCTGTCACAGAGTACGCCTTCGGCACAGGTAGAGACTCAGCAGCAAAAACCTTTACACACTTGACTATCTGCATGTGTGTGCGTGTGTGCGTGTGTGCGTGTGAATGTGTATATGTGTGTGTGTGTGTGTGTGCGCGTGCGTGTGTATGAAAAGAGAATGTGAATACAAAGGTTTGCCTGCATGCGTACATACATACCACTCAAAATGCTTTACCGAGGAGCATCAATCCCTCTCCCCAACCCCTCGCTTTGGTGAAGGCTGCGGCAAGACTTCCGTCCAGAAGTGAACACGACTTGCAAGAAACCCAGCCCCGAGCCTAAACCTACAGCCGAACAATGTCGGAAACTGATGCTCCGTCCTTCCCCACCTCTTTCCTGGAATAGAAAGGCGAAGGCGAAGCCTTCTCCCTATACCAGGTTTTTCTGGTGGAGAATGCGTTCAATCCATGGCTGTGGCGCTTACCTTTGCCGGGTCTATATGCTTCGGGCTGGCTGCCGAGCTTCACCTTACTCAACCCAGAACACCAGCAGCAAAGCCCCAAGCTCTGCCTCCATGGTCAACTCGCAGCATCGACGGAATAGGCCGCTGCTGCCCAGGCATCCAAGACCTGGAGTTTAGTGGCTGCAGCTTGCAGAGCAAGGTGGGCTTCATCAAGACTCTGTCAGTGGTGCGGCGCTTGGAAGGATGCGTGCCGAGCACCGTGAATGCTAGAGCACGTCTGCAAGTACATGAAATATGAAAGATTATAAAGATTAAAATATCACGGATTGTCTCCGGTATCCCCATGTTCACATAGTGGAAAATCTTCATCGCTCGAGGTCTAGGTCCCTCCTGCCCATCCTTCCGTACAAGTCTGGACAGGCGGGCACCCGAAACCCCGAAGCTATCCCCCAAATCCATGACGCCTGTTAAGCTCACGCCTGGACTGAAGCTATTAATGTTCACCCACTTTCACAGGCTCTCGACTTCTAGCCCACGCTCCCTCCGGCTGGTTACCACGCAGCCGGACAGTCTTATGCCGAAAGCTCTTCAAAAAAGCTGCCTGCAGCCCCTGAACCCCCTGAATCATACTAACTGCCTAAACCGTGAAGTCTCAGCGTATCGACTACGCTCGACAGAAGCAACGAAAGGAATCACCCTGAACCACCAAGCCCTAACCTAGAAACCTCCGAAGAGAAGTCCAGCAGCCTGCCACGATGTCGCGCGTCAGCCGGAAAGGCACCATCTCCGGGATCTGAAGCAGGCGGCCCGCCTTTGCCAGGGTCTGGGTTTCGAGGGTTTTGTATGGTTTTGCGGTTGGGTGTTAGGGTTTGGGGTGTATAGGATTAGGGTTAAGGTTTGGGAGCTTAGAGTTTGCGGTTTGGAGATGCTTGAGGTTTACATCGTCTTGGGGTTGAGGTGCGAGGGCAGACAGCAATGCAAGGGCATACCACCTACATACAGATCACAACGTAGAATGCTTGCAAACCGCCGTCACGTAAAGGACCCGCCAAGAGCTTAACACATTGTCTTGACCGAGCCTAAAACTCTACTCCAGAGCTGCGACCTGGATAACCAAGGAGAAGTCGACAAAACCACACAGCAATCATAGTATTCGGCCTAATTGAACATTAGACCGAAGATCAAAGTAAAATCCACTGACATATCAGCTTGTGGACATCACCACGCCACCAACCATGTCAAACTATGTCAAATTCAATATCTGTCTTTCGTTTGAAGGTACATGAACAAATGAAGCGCACTGCGGCTGATTTACAGCCGGATGCGGGCCATTCATGCAATATCTTTTCACACGGCATTGCGCCAATAGTGGAAATCACCACATAATGTCGTGTATAGACCATTGTCTCAATCTGAAGGCTCAGGCCTAAAACCACAACTACCAGAACGAGACAATGACGATATCAACAGCGGCGACAACCCAGCCATGATCTTCTAAAGCTATCAGCCCAAGTCCCACCACCCTCACCGCCAACCCTAAACTAAATCCTTCACCCTGCTCCCCCCTCATGTGCTAAGCATGTTAGCTCTCTACTCCCTGAGAAACCGTAGATATGTGGGATATTCAAAGGTGTAAAAACAAACAGATTGCTATGAAAGAGGCTCCAAGGACCCAACCCCCAAGACACTACATGTCTTGCTGCATTGTGCCCAGGCCGATCAGCACATAAAGCATGGAAGGCTTGCAAGGATTCCTCAGTGTAAGGATGGCCTTTTCAAGTAGCTATAATGACAAGAGGAGACGATGATGATAGCAAAAGAACCGTCGCAAAGCCTTGGGCCTGACAGGCCTTCTGAAAACGTCGGTGCCTCGAACGTGATCCCAAAGTCGATGTGGATGAGCTCACCTGTCCTTGGCACGCAAAGCTAAGCGGATTCGGTAACAGTTTAGTATTATTGCCTTCTTAGCTGAGAAGCCTCCAATTGGGCTTCCAGTCCACATGGTTTCTTCAAGTTGTGCAAGGCTTGAGGGGTCAAAGGGTCGGTTTGTTTCCACCTCAACCCTAGCTTGCGTGCTTCATCGCCGGTGCCTCTTGTCGAAGAGGATATTGTTCACGTGCCGGTCGCCAAGACCAACGATGTAGCCTGCCACAGTTTGGTGGAGACGCAAACCCCTTCCGGAATCCAACTTTCAAAATACGTAAGCGCGAAGGCAACGGGATCGGGGCGTGGCATCCGGAGCCGTGGACGAATTCCAAAACACCAAGTCCTCTCCTACCATCACTGTGCTGTCAGTATTCTTCACACTAGCAGTTGCTAGCAATGCGTGATGTTCGTCGTTGATACACTATTCGGACTTCGGATCAGAAGGCTGTTGGGCGCATGGGGTTTAAGGGAGTCTTCGGAGTTCTAGCAGCATTTCAGTCTTGCTTATCTGATAGCTTGGGGGATGCCGGATCTGAGGTATTAGGCTCGAGAACCACTTAAAGCTTTATAGTCAAGAGTAATGCTTCTCCATCTACCTGACACTTACAATGTTCCATTGCTTTTAAAGGGGTATCTTCGACCACAACACGAGGAACTTTGGCACAAGGGTTGCGCAGAAGCGATCTGGGCCGCCAACCCACAATGGAGCTGACAGCAGTCGATCGTGCGTAAGCCCGTCGTGCCGCGTGCCAGTCCTGAGTTGGTCAAGGAAGCTCCGAGGCTTCAGCTGTGAATCCCCATTGCTCCACAGCCTTACGGACGGACACCTGCAATGTGAATGGAACATCCCAGGGGAAGGTCAAGCTCCAGAGTGTATAAGGGAGTTCGCCGTGACTCCTTCCTTCTTGCACCTGAAGGTTGCGAACATGCTGACAAGTCCGCGAGAACCTAGGTTGATGAACAAGCCTTTAAGAACAACACAACCCGAAGAGGGACTACTGTGATTCTCTGCCCTACATCATCGCTTTTCTCAAGACTTCTTGGCTGGGTACCTGATGGTACTTGCTGTCGAGGATACGTATCCACCCTAGACTCACGGCCGTATTGTTTAGAGATGCCGTTGTGGGTCAGGCTCAGTGAGGGGACTTCTGTGATTTGGGAACCCCTCAACGATTCGGTAACTTGTGGGGGCAGCCAATACACCATCTCATCACCCTGAATATCAGACTCGGCGTCCTGAGGCGACGGAAACCGCTCCAGAAAGACCAGATGCATGACCTTGGCATCCCCAGGAACATGCCCACTCACTTACCAAATTGGACATGCTTTGTGCTGGAACATAGGACTCGGATTTGGGGTTGCGAAGCTCCATCGCTATCGAAAGCTACTGGAGCAGGGTCCATTTTACGGGTAAAGAGGTGTAGTGGGACCCGGATTTCAAGCACGCACTACTACGAATCTCCATCAGGGTCTCACAAGACCTTCAAGTACACTACACTAGTCTTTATCTACCGGGACCAGAGAAGCCAAAATAAGGGATCCTGACTTGGGGATCTGCACGCAAGTCAGGTCTCGAGGCTCGGCTCTCGGATGAGATCACAAGTGGGCAGAGCAGCAGAGCAAGGGTCCGGGCGCCCCTGCGAAGAAGAAATCTCGCCGAAATGATATGGTTACATGCGGGTATAAGTTCAAGGCTCGGAGGGTTTAGGATTTGGATAACAGGAGAAAAGCTTGCAGCCTCTGCTTTTGAAATTCGCGACATAAAAGCCAGACAACTGTTGCAAATAGCCGAGCGGAGTCTGGAATCAAGTGCCGTTCGGACAGGACTCGACTGCTGCTTAGGTTCCCCATTCGACGAAACTCTTGCAATCTGCATCATGCTACATCCAGACCGCAGCAATGAAGTTAGAGTCTAGCGTGTCAGAACATGTCAGATCTAGGCAGACCGTATCCGGAGCTGCAGCATGCTGTCTTCCGCATCTCTGGGAACCGAAGTCGCGAAAAGCTACGTGTGACTGTGTCAAGATGACACTCCCATCTCCTACAGTTCAGACTTGCAGAGCAGCACGAGAAGGCCCAGGCTCAACAGCTGCTTCGAGGCTTTTGAGGCTTAGATGCTTGTAAGCCTTTTTGGGCCAGCGACAGGTTTGAAGTGGCGGTAGATCTCTGCGAAGGCGCGCGGCTGCGCTTGGCGGTCACCGTTCTTGGCCGCCTTGCAGGCAGTGAGAAAAACAAACAACAGGGCTGGTGCACAGCACGGGCGAACTTTGCACTGCTTTGCGCTGAAATGGTTTGCCCGGGCTTCTTACAAGCGGCTCTTGCTTCGTGGTAGATGCTGCAGCACCAAGCTTTTTGGCAAGACGAGCTTCAGACTTGCAGGCATGCAAAGATGAAGAGTATGGCAGCGAACCGTTCGCAGAACAAGCTTATGCCATGATTCACTACGGCCGTCTTGAACCGCTATCATCACACTACAACGGCCCCGCCTGGAGAGCGTCCACCATCTTCTGTCTGCACTGGTGGTGCAGCCAGTCTTCCGGCCTGTACTTCTGGTGCGCACCCTCCACTGGGCCGAAAAGGATCTCTGCGAGCGTGGTCGTGTGCTCCACCCACTCGGCGACTCCTGTGGCAGAGGGTTCACTCAGGCTTACACTGGGCTTTTGGAGGGCTTGAGCGCCGTGCTGATGTCATTGGTTCCGGAGTGTGCAGACGGGCTGAGGCGTGCAGACGCATGTGACTCCTGCGCAGGGCGAGAGCGGGATGACCTGGAATGTGCGCAGCGACAGCTGGGTGTCCTGCCATTCTGTCACATCACAAGCCGTGCGAACACCTGTACGGGCATTATAAGACCACGAACAACATGCGTCATCATGTAGGCCCGGCGCTTTAATCCTGGCTGATGAATCTGAGACAAAGGAACATCACATCAACAGCGCGATACAGCTGAAACCTTCTCGCACAGCTTTCACTTCCCTCTGCAGCTCCTGAAATACATCGTTCAGCAAACGGAACAGCTGCTGCATCACTGCGTCCTGCCTGCAGGGGTGCAAGTGCTTTTAGAAGCTTGTCCATGTGGCGAAGAATCCACTGCGATAAATGATAGACAAACAATCCTAGTCCTAGTACATTGAAAACAAATACCTGCAGTGCGTCTGGACCTAAATGTTCCTTGACAGTGCTGAGCTTCACACAACTTAACCCAAGAGTACCTCAAGGCAGAGAGGGGAAAGTGCTCAGGAAGTGCGTTCAATCACCAAGTCGCTGAAACCCAGCCCTACGCCGCTAAGTCCCAAAATCTTCACATGCCAGCCTCAGGTCGTCCATGCCTTTGACCAGCTGCTTCAGCTCCCTGCCAGCCGAGTCGCGGACTCGTACCTAGGCTCAGGGTCCGGCTTCGGGAGACAATCCGATGGGTTCAGGGTCTCGGCGCTCACGCTCGGACAATCCAGGCGAGGCTCAAGGTTTTTTTAGGGCATCGTGGTTCGGGGCGTTGATGGAGTTTATTAGGAGTTTCAGGTTTAGTCGTATCGGATTCAATTTTTAGGTCGAACGCATAGTGCAGAGGCGGGGCGATTCTCGGGCAGGAGACCCCTTGCGGCGCGATGCTGAAGCTGTCCTTAGCAGGATCTCTGCAAAGATTCAGGTGGAGGTACTTGAGCAGACTGAACCTTAACCGCCTTAACCCTGCCGTGTTCGCGACCCAGTGTCAGCGAAGCCTTCGATATGAGAGCCGTCACCGGCGGACGAGGTGGGAACTGGGATCTTGATGCTCTGCAGCGCCTGCATTCTAGGGCTTCAGGGATTTACATGTGGGTGTTTCGTTAGATAAGTGGCCTAATACGAGGTCTTGTGGGGGACCGGTGTCTTCTGAAACTTTCGCCCGGCACCTTAGTGACGGCTTTGAACTCGGGGATGCGTGACAATGCCACCTCTGCATCGCGGTTCTTCTTGTCAATCGGAAACTCCTGCGCAACGGCAGTGAATGTAGCGTGCGTCTCGTGTCCACGTTTAGCCTTTCACAGCACAGAATTTGGACGAAGGTGTGAGGGCTTGTAGGTAGGGATTCTTCAAACATGACGGATCAAACGGACCCAGTTCATAACTACTTCTCTACATATGTATGTGAGGTTGCATGTGTCTGCACGGCTGCGTCCTAGGTGGCACCTGTATTGGGTCGGGGTGTTTGAGACAACGGACGTTTGCACACAAAGTCGATGTAGTGCGGGATTTTGGCACATCCGATGGGTGACCTCGTACCATGGCTCATTCACGTCACAGCCTACTCCAAAGCCACAGCCTTCCAACCCCCACAATGACCTGCACAAGGTTGAGAGCCCAGACTCGACGTGATGTTGCCCCCTGCCCTAGGTGGCGCAGCATGTTCCCCGTAGCCAGAGCTCCGGCTTCTAAGACCCCTAAACCCCTGTTTGGGCCTTTAAAGCACAAAACACAACCCGCTGCAATTACTGAGCAGGGGGCCGCTATGGCCAGGTAGAACTTGTTCAGAGTTTCGACTGTCTCCAGCACCTACCAGGAAACTCCAACAAAGGGACAAAGCAAGACGGGCAGCTCAGGATCAGCCGACAATGCGAACACATTGGCTGGCCGAGGGAGCAGCAGATTGAGGCATTCGAATTACTGTTGGGGAATGTCAGGTATCCTCGTGGTCTCGGCCGACAGGGCTTCGAGCATGTGGGGGGCAATCAAGGCTTTGCGAATGTGTCTTTGTGTGCTCTGCACGATCTTCACGACGGATGCAGCGGAAGCCGCTGGATAGTGCAAATATGGTGTCATCTTGCTTTCGTAGGTGGGAATCTCGTAAAGATTATCAGCTTGACGATCGAACGATGAGCACAACAATCATGTTGCTCATGGTCGCCTTCGTCACTATCAAAACCAGCATGGCCATCATCACTATCAGCACCATCCCCATCCTTATCGTCGCCACCACGAGCTGGAATGTAGACTGTAAGTTGCAATAGGCAGCATTACGAACCCTTGATCCCTACATTTCGGGATGTTGGCAACTCTGGGTGTGGTTTGGGAGCGAGGCTTATGCTTCGGGCACTCCTGCTCCCTTTGAGCTTGGATTAGAATTAGAAGTAGAGCCGCCTTTCGGGTGCAATGTATCTGGTTCACTTCGGATTTCGTCCGCGCATAAATCCTACAAGTGCAACCAAAGGTTGGAAATTATCCCGTCAGAAGCCCTCGAAATAGAGGATCTAAAAGCAGCCATGGAGCTGACTTCAGCGCGGGGAGCTTCCGCAGTCGCTCCAGCACTCGCTTTGCAGCCGCCAGTTTGTTGGGCGCATGTCTGTGCAGCGCCCTGCCTTGCATGTCCTGGCTCGACTCTCCAGGTTGCGGGGCTCAGGAGTTCCTAGATTAATGGGGCTAAAGTGGCTCCGGGTTTGGTTGATGGGTTTTCTCCAGGTGCATAGCTCACCAGATCCACGCAGCCTCTCCTCAACCTCAACACTGGGGCCTGCGAGAGAGGTACGTGCAAATTAGGGCCAAAAAAACGAGGCTCGTCTCTGTTAACATCATAAGCCTGTCAAGACTTAGACCAGGCCCTCGACCACTAAGACTCTTCGACCTGTAATCGTAAACCCAAAGCTCCGCACCTAGTAATCTTTTCCTCTACGCGACCCATAAATGAAAACCCTGTAAACCTTTCTTGCCCGAACTCAACGCTTCCTTTTGCACACGGTCGCCGTTCCGCAGCAAAATCAGAGGCCAAAGTGCTTGCGGGCCACGCTGAGCTAGGGAGACCTGTTGGAGAAGAGTTGCAGGCTTAGGGCTCAGGGTATCTTTCAAGCAGGGTTTTGGCGCTCAGACTCGAACAAGCAGGCAAAAATGAGTTTAATTCAGCAACTAGGCCCAACGGGCCTGGTTCAGGAAGGTGGGTTCAGGGGCGTTCAGGGTTTAGCGCCCGAGGTCTAAACTCTCAGAAAGAGGCGCTGGTAAGCTGTCGGAAAAAATTGGGAATGATTTGGCAAACTATGACGGAGCAAATATGGCAGTGTTGAGGCTCCGAGACATGGACAACAAGAGCAAGGTTCAGAAGGTTATTGCTGCAGTTCTCCGAGTGTTTGGTCAGCAAGACGACGAAAGTATGGCAGTTATTAACATTCTCCTCGCTCTGCGTCCTAAGGATTCGAGTATGCCTTGCTCGAGGTGCAAACTCAGTCTTGCGATTTGCTCTCGATAACCAAGGTGAGTTATGGAATGATTGGTCAGAAGGTGTAGAGTCGGCGAGACTGAAATATAACTTCGCTGTCGCAATTCGAAGAGTTGAGATTGGAATAACTTAGCACTCACATATTCGAAGGGACATGAAGAACAAGCCCTGATCCTGATAACTTACACCCTTTTAGACATCCAGGAATCTGTGCAGGCTTGCCCGGAAGAGGGAATTAGGCATCACTAATGGCTGCAAACTCACGTTGACCACCTTGCCGAGCCCAACCACTGAAGTGCTGAAGATCAAGCCTAGCCTAAACTGTTGCAGCCTCAATGCGGTAGACCTGATCACGAGCAAAACCATTTTAACCAAGCGCTTTGCATGTTGAACTCTACCCTTTCCCGGCATCATCGACCAACGATCCCAGTAACGGAAACTATGGAATCAAGCCCAACCGCAATCGCTTCGTATCGAAAGTCGTAAACCCTGCTAGGCACAAGGCTACACACTCCGAGAAAGATATCGGACACGAAACGTTACCTGCAACTCTCTCAGCCCAACAACCTTTAAGTCCCCGAGGACGAGAAGCCAACAGCTCATCCAGTGTCTGCTGAAAGAGGCCCTCCTTCGAGGTTCGTTCTCAGAACTGTGGATTCCAGGGCGTCTGAAACTGCAGGGAGCCGCTTTCTATATGATCTAACACTATGACGTTCTGTCTTGAGGTCTATTCTGGGGATTCCACTCCGCAGTAGAGCTGTGCCCAGCTCCATGGGCCACGGGCTTTGGCTTAAGAAGTCTGCGGGAGAAAGAAGTATGGTGGCTCGTTGCCTTAGAGAGCTCCGTGTTTCGGAGGCCAATTCCAAACCGCCAGGCAGCAGATGAAAAAGATTCAATATCACATGGAGCCCGCGAAAGCCAATCATCCGCTTTTTCTTTACGTTTTGCTAAACGTCAACACCCTTTTCTGATCATGTCGGAATGTGTATGGGTCCACATGTCAGGAGTCTCAGCTTTTGGAGGCTTCAAGGTCTAGAGTCTTAGTGTACAGGTCTTCTATTAATCTTCTATGTATCTCTTGCAACGTTTTTCGTAAGATCGAAGCTGCGGGCTTGGAGGAGGGCTTTCGGGCTGAAAGTCCATGGCGTGGACAGGCTTGCAAGGCTTTCCAGAGACTTGAACGACCGATGCCGAATAAGTGTGATACGACAGTGAAACGGTACATCGGCGGTTTCTTACTGCATGTCGTCTTGGGAATGTTTAAGTTGATGGGCTCTTCTAAATCCGGTTGAGGCTGAAACCCGACACCCTACATCCCGAAACCCCAAGCCCGCTGAACCGCAGAGTCCCTGTGGAGTTAGAATCCTGAACTCTACCCCAGAGCCCTAAACTCCAGTGAACACTAGACTGGAAACATAATTACACAAGGTCGGGTTGAATTCTAAACACTTAGGCAGACCGATCAGGGTTGCCCTGATCGACAGGGCCTTGAGATCCAATCGGGAGGCGAGCTGGTACAGGAAGGGGAGCAGTGGTGCTTGCTTCCTTTTGGGTTTGGGGCTTCAGGGCGTAAGCTGTGTAGGGATGACGGGGAGTTTAGGTGTCGCTGAGAAGCAGTGTTGGCAAGGAGGGTCCATGTTTTTCTACGTTTGGGCTGTGAACGTAATCAATCAGGTTCCTAAGATATTTACGGCGAGAGCTTTGTGGGACGAGGGGTCATGCCGCGGATACTTAGCCTCTGGGTTTTGACTCAGGGGCTTCCCATGCTTCGATCTTATGTATGCTTCCTCGGTCCCGTCTTCTTGCTGTGGACTTAACGAAACATTGAAAATCAATGTTGGGCTTCACTCAGATTCAGTCCGGAACCCAGAGCTGGACCCCTGGATGCAATACCTTACATAAAAGGGCCCTTGGTTCGACCTGCCTCAGCTTGGGTATAAGGTCTCTATAGGTAGAAGACCGTGGGCGTATACTCTAAGGTTTCTAAGGTCACATTGTCATGTGCTTCAAGGATTCGCGGTTTTAGCCGGTTGCTGCTCAGCAGATACCAAGCTTTGCAAGACTGGCACCAGTCTGTTGAATGCAACCAACCCGTGAACATCTGATCGGTTGGCACAAAACGCCGCTACCACAAGTAGGCCGCAATGTCGAATTCCAAATCCGAAGCCGTGCATGGCTCGGGATCCTCGAAGATGTTTCAGCGAAACTGTTTACAAGCTGAAGTAACCTGATGAAGCCACGTACGGACCATGGCCCCGCCTGAAAAAAATATCTGAACACCCTGGAAGCTGAGTCTAGCTCTTCAAGAAAGCCGAGCGACAGCGTCGGGATGGACTCCCGGACGATCCGCGTAATGCCGGGGTACTCTTGACAGTCGAACCATAGAGACAGGAATCGGCAGGCCACCTCCCAGGACTTTGGGGGCGGTTGGGGGTTTCGGGTTTGGAATTCCGCAAGGCGCCTGCGTGAGGTTCCCCTGACCATCGCTGAGACAGCGCGCCAGCTGCTTGACGCAGTTGGTCGCGAAAGCCTCTAGCCTGGCCTGCGGGTAGGGCCAAGAGTGTCTTAAATTCTTTGGGCTGCTGTTGCTGCAGCGCTTTTCCGGTGCTGCTGAGTTTACATACGGATCCCTTTAAAGTATGTGTTTCAAGTGATTCTGCAACTGTGCGAAGTTAGAACATTGCGAAAAGGCACGCAGAACGACAAATGAAGTCATAACGATCCTCCATCAGCAGTGTCCTGGATCCTGCGACTCAGATACCATCACAGAGAATACCCCGCCAAACCAGGGCAACGTCAGATAAGGATGTGCGTGGATTTTTGTGTTTACGGGATTTGGAGTTCACGGTTTTGAACGACCCCCCATGCGCTACTTGCCGAACCGTAGGGCGTAGGCCGGGACTGGGACTCACACCAAAACTCATGCATTGCAGGAATGTCAGCAACATGTCTACGTTGACCAGACTTGCCCAAGTGCTGGGTTGGCAGTTTTGCTGAGGAATGGTGTTCGCTGCCTGAAACGGTGGGAAGCCCTACCAAGGAAGTTTAACATGAGGATCCTTGTGTGTGTGTGTATGTGTGTTCCTCACATGTTCGAGTCTCTAGGACGCTGCACGCAAAACCTTGAAGCTCAAAGCTCTCAACCGGCACGGGGCTTCTTTATGCGAGGCAAGGTTTGGGTGTTCGAGGGCAACTGACCTCTTTACGCTTTTTCCTGAAACTTTGTTTGTATTAATTAATTTTTCACTTAACGTTTAATCTGTGATTTATCTGCTTGCCGGCCTTGTCTTGAAACGGCCTTGTCCTACTTACCCTTGGCTGCGGGAGTTTAAGAAAAGAAGACCCATAATCCCTAATACACAGAAAGTATACTAGGACCTATACTGGGACCCCTGCGATGACGCCCAAATGTGGCACCCCAGCTATCAGACACCCCCCCTATATTCATATTCCCCTCGCTGCCCGACACGCGGCCTCCTCGTTCTGCAAGGTTTTCTGGTCTTCCTGGCGCTGGAGCTCCTCATGTCCAGTCTGTCTTGTTCACGAAGCGAACTAGACACAGCCTGCAACTGAGGCCTGGAATCGAGGGGTGGGCTGGAGCGCCCCGTGCCATGAAGGAACCCTCGGGCCTGTTCAGATGATTTCGGTCTTGGGATTCACATCCGCCCTCTAAGCCCTAACATGTAATCTAGCCTTCCCGGCAACACGAGGACATTATCTGAAAACGACCCAGCACAAATGCCCTTCACCCTGAACCCAGTGAGCCAAAGCCGCAAGCGTTCGACGTTGCTGCTGCAGGCTGTGAAACAGCTTCCGGTCTTGTTGGCCTCAGACTTATACGGCTTCTGCTGGCTCAGGCCTCGAGGCTGAGATATTTTGAGGTTTAGGGCCTGGGGCGTAGGGTGTTGTAGGCCTGGGGGTCCTTGATATTTCTGGCTTCTGTACCCTCATCTGCAAAAAGGCCGGAGCCCAGATTTCGAACGGTGGGGTTCAGAAGGTCTTAGAACTCCTAGGCTACACCCTGCACCCTGGATCCTGTGACCGGTAGCGTGGACCGATATCACTTGAAAGCCCAGGCAAGCTTGAGCTCAGCGGCTTGAAACATTAAGTTAGAGTGCTTCATCTTGAGGACTAGAATCCCAAGCACTGAGCACGCAATCTGTCTTACGTACGACAACCTCTCACACCTCGAAGGCTCGGCGCAGCAAATGACTATGTCTTGTGGCGATTTTGCGCTCTGCGCGGTGAGGGTCCAAGGCCGTGAATCCAAAGCCCGATACAGCCTTAGCCTAGAAAAGAAAGAAACCCTGAATGATACGACAGCTTTATGTAAACTGAGACCAAACTCCAAAAACCCCACAGCAAAACCTGACACCCGAAATCCAAATGAAGAGCTCATCCTGGAGGAAAGCTCCGAGGTTTCGGCCTTCGGCCTTCCTGCTGATCGCGTCCATCTGGCTGACCACCTGTATGGATCTTATGGTGTTCGAGGTGGTTGGGGTCGGGGGGGGGGGTGTCGATGTATGGGTGAGGACTGCAGGATTTTGGGGCTTTGCCAGGTGTAGGACTCATGGTTTGGGTTTCGGTCAGCCCCCGGGCTCAAGGCTCATTGCCCTGCTTTTACGGACCCGAACAAAGAAACCCTTTGGTCTGGTGCAGCTTGCAGGGCCCTCGAACCGTGTTCTACAAACGTGCCCTGAAGTTCAGAAGTGACAGGGACCTGATTTTGAGCAATGAGCGCCTGCGCCAGCTGCTCTTCAGTCTTCTGCCGAGAATCCTGAAGGCTCAGTTGTCTGACAAGCACCTTTCTGACTTCTTTACAACTGAGGCGTATGGTATAGGACTGGGGGCCAAGATGTATCGACTAGACTGTTGAACTTCGGATGAGGCGCATAGGTTGCCAGTTTGTATGAGGATGTCGGTATGAACAAAGAGCACATCGGATTCGAGGAAGTCTTGGTGCAAAGTCTTGAAGTTTCAGGATTCAGGTAGCAGAGTCTTCCATGGAGGCTGGACGTATCCGCGTGCGAGTACCCCGTCAAGGCGTGCTCGCATCCAGACATTGATTGTCTGATTTCCACAATTCAAAACAAGAGCAGACTTTTTGTCGTGGCTAGACAGAGAGCGTCCAACTTGGACCGTCCAACAATGCTAGTAGCCATGAGAACTGATTGCAATGCTGAAAATCATGCCAAGGATGGTAAGGGTACATAACCATGAACAGCGGTAGCGAAAAAAGTGGTAAGGATGCCAATGCTAGTCTTGAGGAGAACGATGACAAGCTTAAGGCCAATTAATATCATTGCGAAGAGCAGACCTAACCTCGCGCTTGCGGCGGCGTTTGTAGCAAAGTTTGCATCAGGAACCCCGGGGCGGCAAACTCCGAAAAATCGAAATCCGCAAACTCCAAATTACGAGGTTCATAAAACCAGATGATGCGAAGTTTAAGCATTGTAAACCCCACCACCTCCCCCGCATCCCTTCGTCACCAATAACCCTCCCGAAACTCCTACAGTACCAGCACTCTTCGGCCTTGGCCAAGGAAAACTGCACGGAGCGCTGTCGGCTAAGCTCCTCCGCTAGGCAGCTGTCGAGGAACTCAGCGAACTGACGCCTCGCCTGTAGGGGCTTCGCAGGGGTTTCCGAATCTTTTAGGCGTCAACGGAATATTTGGGGAGCATGGGCTTTTTTAGGATGTGTCGGGTGAAGGGTCTTCAAGATTCTCTTACGTGACGTTCGTCCCCTCGCCAAAACCGGAACCACTCTGAAACTCTGTGTCGGAGCCTGAAAGTGGGAGGGGTCTGCTTTGGTGGCCGGGACAAAGTACTCCGCATCGATGACTTCTGGGCTCTCCAGCTTGGAAATTGAAAGCCATGTTCCGGTGCCCGCCAGAATCTCGGCATACCAGCTGTTCGCGGACTTGATCTCTCGAGCATCTTTGACCAAGGCCTTGGCAATGGTCAAGGCCTGCTGTGTCATTTGCAGCTCCCAGAGGCACCTGAGGTACTGTCAGGGTTCGTCACAAGGTCAGAGAGACAGTGTCTCAGGGTGTGCTGTAGGTTTTAGGGGATCGGGCCTCCCTTGTCAGGAACAGCTTTTCGCAGTGTAAAGCCTACCGCGTCCACATCTCAAAGGTCCGGGAGTTTGCAAATTAACGCTTAGTCCTGCACTTGTACCGTACTTAGGGGGTGCGCATGCTTCCGTCTGCGGTAAAGCTACATAACTGTAAGCAGCCCCTCAACAACCCTGGCACGGGTGTGTCAACCGCTCACACAACTTCCGTAGCACATTGATACCTAACTTACTGCTGCGTGGTCTAGCACAAAGGGATGGTATTCGCTATCGAGCCCGCGGTGTTTCCTCTTGCGTGCCTGGACACTGCGCCTGCTCCCAATGCAGCTTGAGGATGTCGAGCTTGTTCCTAAGGACCACACGGGTGTAATTGGGATTATCGCGTCAAGAGAGCTGGAGCTCATTCCCAACATCGCACCAGAATCAGAAAAAAGCAGCTTGAGCACGAATGTCCTGCACTCTGAAACCTGCCGAACATCAACGCTCTACGCTGCACCCGAAGCCTGCGACAGGGATACGAAAGTCTGTCTTCACCCCTGGACTGCGAAAGCAACACCAAGCAACCTCCACCTGCAACTCAGATTCGGCTTCGTTTTTTCACGCGTCCGCTGTGCTCGCTCGAGCAGGGCGAGTCCTGCACTCTGAACTACTCGAGGCCCCTCAGTCTTCGTTTCGGCTCTCACAACTTGTTTTCACTTATAGCTTCAGGGTTGCCTGAGTTTCGGCCTTGGGACTGGAGCCTAGACCTCCAGATTCGACCGCCCCGCCCAGGCATAAGCCTTGAACGAGAAGTCCTTGCTGACCTCATCAAAACATAATCTTCCTCTGTCCGCCAAAATTCCTCTCAACGACTGTCAAACTCAACCCCCTGACAAACACAACCACCCAGCTAAGCAAGACCCCTGTCCCAGAGCAAAAGCAGGACATTTCTGCGTTTACGAAGAACCACAGGAATGCGAGGAAACCTACCTTACTGCAACCGTTTTCATATCAATATTGAACAACAATAACAGGTTCACAAAAAGCCGTGCTGTTAGTGGTAATACTGATAATAACAGAACTACAAAAACAACAACGAATGATTGCGACAATCATGAAGCTAGTATTAGTACTGCACTCATGCTAGTCGTACCAACCACGAGAAGAACAACAGCAATACTATCAACCATAAGAAGAACAATACTAACTATTTGTTGCGAAGAACAAGGACAATAACAATAATGCGATTACCGGTGATGCTAGCAACCATATCAATAACAATAACAATAATAATCTGATTAAGAAAAACCAAAACAATAGTACTATGAATAACCATAGCCATAATCATAGCCATGATAATCGTAGCAATAAGGCTAACACTATATAGAACACAAAACGAGAAGTGCATATATCGCACATGAGACTCCTTAAACTCCGGCAAAAACGTCGAAGACCAGCCCCTGCCTCGGTGAAACTGCGACCCCTCGCGTGCTAAAGCAGCCAGAGCTGTAAGGAAGCGGTACCTGAGATTGCGGGTTCGGGGCTTGTGGAACTCAAGAACTTTACGACTTTGTGGTTCGAAGGTTTCCTGCTCGGGCTACTGTAACACCTCCAAGGTATCCCCATGTGATCCCAAAAAGGGTGAACGACGTTCTGCCTTCGACGAACAAGCCAGCCTAAGCTGAACCCAAAGCACGAACAAGTCTCGGAGAAGGGATGCAACATGCAGGCCTTAGGGCTCCAGAGTTCGGTGAGAAACGATCTTGGGGGGCGCGGTCGCAACTTAGAAGACTTTGGGCTACCCGAACTTCATGTATTCTAGCCGCTAGCCTGAGTCAACCACCCAGCGGCTCCTGAAGCGGCTGCTTTGCAGCTGAGAGGAGGGCCGCTCGCAGGGCCAGCCTTAGTGGTGAGTTTACAAGAGCTTCCTAAGGGTGCTGGAGGTTTCGAAACGGCTTTGATACGGGTTTGCAGTGTCATCAGCTCCAGAAGGAAGAAAGGGAACATGTACCCGAGTTCACTCCTCTCACCATACCCACATGGCAACTCGAACAAAAGCTTCTCCACAAGCGCATAAAAGCAGCTGCTGCTCGATTTGCAGGAACTGCCCGCTGCCGACCTGGCGAGGCGATGCTTGTAGCGAGGACCCGAGGGTTTAGGAGGTCTTAGGGCTCATAGGACTTAGGACCCTACATTATATAGGCGGTGCAGGGCCTAGCGAGGGTCTATAGGATTTAGGACCCTATAACACGTTACTGTAAGAATGGCCTGCCTTGTGCCAGCTGGCTGCCAAGTTCGCCACTGACGACCCTTTTGAAGCCGGCGCATTGTCAGCCATCACGGCGTCGACGCAGTTGAATATTGCACCGATGGACTGCAATTTTGTAGCTGCAGCCTTGAGGCTCTGCGGAGACTGCAGTCGAACCTCGACAGACTGCATTCAGAACACTTGTTTCTCCAACCCTGAAGCCCATGGCGCAAAATAGAACTAAACTCTAAGCTCTAAACATCGGACATCCAGGTGTCGGAATGCAGACTAGTTAGCCAAGGGACAGCCTCCATGGTGCCGGCTACCATCTCCAGCAGTGGTCCTTCCACCACGCTCATGGTGCCAGCCATCTCTGACAACGCCGAATGTAGGGCTGCGTGAAAGCCTTCAAGCCAACAGGGCATCCCAGAACCGCACTGAGCAACAGAAGCCCCACAAGATCTGAAGAAGCCACTCCGAACATCCACGGCACGACAAGCCTGATCTTAAAGCTTACCTACAACCCTACAGAATCAGAGCTGCAGGCCCTTTATGGACCATCAAACCCAAAGCTCAAAGCACCCCCCAAAACCATGCACTTTTCACGCCTCTTCCTTGTTGGTCTGCGCTGTTCCATTGGCCGAGCCGCCAGAGCGCTTCGGCACGGCGCTCCCACGCAGGGCCATCCTGGCTGGGGCTTAGGGTTGAATCCCTTGTAGGCTTTATAGCGCCTTTTTGGGCTCGTTTTCTACGATCGCCGAAGGTCTCGAAGAGACTTCCATCAAGACTTGAGGGAGCAGGTTTGGCTTTTCTGCCTCTTGCGATTGCTTCTTGAGCACCTGCCGATCACTGAGGCCATTTCTCTATCCGCGAAGGTGCGTTTTTTCCATAGGTTTGGGGTTCAGGATCTAGGGAACACGGGGCAAAATCGGGTGTGCAAATGAAATGGAAGTTAGTAATAAGGCTCAGGGGGTTACGGAAGCGATTCACGGCAGCATGTATATAGTTCGAACGAAGAGTGAGTAGGGTGCATGCCAACTAGGAGTGTTTCTGAGGATGCATGTTGGATCTCAACCCTGCGGCTGCTGGAAGGCCTTGCCTAGTTAAGCACGGCAGCAGATCATCAAGAGCACAAGGTCCCGGTTTCCAACCTGGTGCTACGGCGCCCCTGAGTGTCAAGTCGTATGGAAAGGTTAACTTCGCAGCGGTGCTTCGCAGATTTACGGTTCTTAGACACTGAGATCTTGTTGGTTGTTGAGCAGCAGATTTGGCTGAAAAGTAAACACGAAATACAGGACCGATTGTGCAGCTATGGATATCCTTGGACGCAGACATTAAAAACATTTAAAAATTGCTTCCAGCCCTAAATTCTGGACGGTTTACAGCCCCTGGAGCACCGAGGCCCAATTTCTACATCTTGCGAAGCTTGAACATCCAAAGCTCTGACTGACCCAAACTTCCCAGAGACCCAAACCATCAGGCCTCATCTGGCAGGGAGGATGCTGTCAGCAGCGGGTGAAGTCCGAGTCTTCCCAATGTATCCTTGGCTGTCTACGTGGTGGGCGAGTACAGAAGTCGAAATCAAACAGTCTAGTAGAGTATAGTAGTATAGTATATATAGTATAGTATGGTATAGTTGTATGTCATATCTTATGACTTATGATATTATAATGGAAGCGGAATTCGAGGATCCGACTGAGCTAATGCTCCTTTGGACAAGTTGTTGGGGCGCGGGTGTTAGTTTGAGAAAGGTGTCTACCGAACACTAAAGCGTAATCACATAGAATAGGGATCAGCATTCAGGAAGCACCATTTTGGGGACCTGAAGTTTAGCTGTTACTTCGGGCTTCAGAGGTTTGAGGTTCACCACTGAGTGCGGATGGACATGAGGCTTCAGAACTTCATGTTCAACCAGCAGGGCACTACGACCATGCTAATGAGAAACGGCGCGACATGATATGAACGAGTCGGGGAATTGGGTCAAGCCAGAATCTTCCAACAATACCGCCATTCAGTCTTTCACTCATAATCTTCGATCGGCATTCCGCGCGCTATCAGCGAGCAAACCTGTCGCCATCAACTCCTACTCCACATTACTCTACTACTATACTACTCCAGAAGCCCTAAAACCCAGAAGCGGGTAGTACCTTAAGACCACCAGAAAGCCTAAGAAACCCTGTTCCGAGGTCGCGTCATCGAGGCCCAAGCGTGCTTCTGCCTCGCAGCCATCACCTCGTAGTGCCGCCTCGGGTTTTGCATGTTTAATGGGCCCCAAAACCCAATTCTAATTATTAAGGCCTTTCTCTTAAAGGTTTCTCACGGGGTCCAGCCTCCAGTATCTCACTACGCAGGTGCAGGCTTGTGAGGTGATCCTCACCGAGCTCTGCACGTGCCAACCGCGTGGACCGGTGACACCACTGCGAGTTGCCTCAGCAGAAGCAAAAGCCGGAAGCCTGCGACATCGTTAGGCCAAAACTGGCTTGTAAAAGCCTTCTTCTCTTAAGAAGACGTGCAGTAAAACAAAACAATATCAGCAATTACGATGAAAACATACTGCAAGGCAAGTGGCCGTGCAGAAACTGGTCATCCGGCAAGTCTTTGGCCAGCTTCTCCAGAAGCCGGATCTCCGGTGCCTCGGTCTGAATTTGCAAAACGACCCATCCGTAACACCGCCCAAGCGACGACAAAGGGTCTGATCCCGAACGCTTAAACTTCTATGAGCCCAAACAAAAACCAAACCAAGCCCCAAAATCTACGTGCATAGGCCCCAAACTTAAACACATCATCCTGCAGCACTCTTTAGAGACTCTAAGCCCCAACAAAACGCTATAAAGCTCTATACAACCGGGGCTCGGGGGGCTTGAAGAGAGCCTCCACGCCGGTCACGGTTTCGATAGTCTGAAGGGCTTCATCCAGTGGCATGTCAGGCCTCGGCCCAGGTTTTGCACGGTTTCATGAGGTTTACAAGGCTTCAGTAAAAAAAAACCTCATATAGGCTTCCAAACTATCATGTATTCCTGGCCTTCATAAGGTTTTGCAGTCGCTCCTGAAGGTCTTCAATGGGCTTGATTGGTGGGGGTTCCATCGAGGCCTGATAGGTTCTAAACTTTGATAACGTTCTACAAGGCCTTCCACAACAAAGGAGCGCATGCAGGGGTTCAGAAATGTCTATGTAGGGTCCCTTGCATACTGAAAACCGCGCCTGCTTATGTCCGCTTCGAGGGCTTATGCTCTCACACTCGGGCTGGGCCAAAGAGGAAGGCCTGCAATCTGCTTAGCGAGTTGCCGGTGCGAAAAGCAGCAAGCTGCTGCACCCTGAGTCAAAACCTTAAGTCCCTAAGTCCTACATCATACGTGCACGGTAGCGGCTGGCGTCGCTGCAGATGGAGCTCCAAGAGTTGAAAGCTATACCTGACAGGGCCAAGAGACCCTTGAGAGAGAAAAATCCTAACTGAAACCAACATCTGGTAGGACCTGGCAGGAACCGCAAGACGTCGCGATTGAACGTGCTCGATAAAATTACCTGGATCAACCACGCGATTCTCGATCTTCGAAGGGTGCTGTTGTACTTCTGATATAACTCTCTCTCGCTCTCTCTGTCTCTTTTTGTCGCTATATACATGTCGAAACTGCTGAACCTCACCCCTGTCAATAGCCGTGTCGCACCCTATAAACTCCTGTGGCACGTTGTGCAATCCTGCGGGACCTCATCATGGATCCGATGCAACGAGAACCCCGGACTCCTTTTCAGCATGGACTGCGTGCCAACATCCTGAACTCTTTAATGTAGGAACCTGATGAGGGAACCTTGGGCCTTTATTAGGGTTCCTTATATGAATCCTACTATATTTGGGGGTTATAGGCAGGTCATACATTAAAGCAGAAGCAGAAAGCCTTAAGCCCTTGCCGAGTCGACCTGGAGTCGCACTTCGCAGCGCACTGTGCTGCCGCGAAGAGATCGAGGTTGGACCAGAACGGGTCCTACAGCTGTAAGGTTTTGCGTCGTTAATTTTCAGTGGTTTTCTGTTGCTTGATGAGATGAGCTTCTTATGTGGTCCGAAAGGGTTTGATATTGAGCCTGAGCAATGAGACTAGGGTTTGCGGGTCGAGTCGGACTTGTTGGTGCAGTTGCGAGTCTCCAGAGTTTGAGCCGTTCGGGGTCTCAGCTGGCAGAGCGCAATGCAAGTGTGGCTGTGTGAAGGATTTGCGCAGGAATTTCCGGCTTCGGGTGGGTATAGATAGGGGATGATAGGGGTGCGCACATGCCATGCGCACAGGTTCGACACCAGCGAGCGAATGCAACAACCGACGATTGGGCCTGAACAAAACAAGTCTCTATGACAAATTGAAGCACGCCCCTGAGAAAGGCAACTGTCTACTCGAAGCTGAGGATCGCCAGCATCTTGAGGGAAATGCGGCACCGCTCTGCCCTTGATGCCCGACCTGGATTTGCAATCAAGGCTTTACCCGGCCAATCTGCCTCGAATGCCTGCGAATGCGTGTTGCCTGGACTTTTGCGTGTTGTCTCGCTTAATGCGTGGCGAACGAGAAAGCATTGAGAAATTGAGGCAGCCTCCCGAGACAGCTTGTGCAGTGCGCTTACAGAGTTTGAGGCTTTAAGTTGGAGGTCGGGCGGTTCTCTCTGTGTGCTGCCTGGGGTTTGCGAGCTGTTTCGCCTCATGTGCAGTGCTCGAAACAGCCATGCGCCCATCGAGGCAACAAGCAAGGCTAGGCAAAGCCTTGCTTCAACTTCGAGAACTCGCAGGAAAACGCGAGCAACAACACCATACAATCTCATCATCGCAAGCGAAACTGCATCAAAGAAGTCTTAAAGCCTACAGTACAAATCCTAACTGAATGCTAAGCTGAGCCTCAAACTCTGAAGTCTGAGCCTTAGTTAACCGGCACCCCTAAACCAACATCCGAAGACCCCAAAGGTTCTGAAACAAAAAAGTAGGCTGAGTCTGAGTGACTGGTAGACCCTCAGGAGATGGAGGGTCTTCAGCAAGCACCGCGCTTGCGATTCGTCCACTACGGGCTGCTCGAAGAACCTTGGGCAAGCTGAGGGCTTCGGGGATTTGCAGCGTGGGAGTTCCTGGGCACAGTTTGGCCCCGCTACGGAAAGCACAAAGCTCGCGTCTTTTGAAGCCGGGATCAAAGTCACCATGCCAAGCCTCCCTCAGCCCAACAACCGGAGCCCAAGACTCTCAACGCCACCGATGCTACAGCCACCTAAGGACTTCAGACTCGACAAGAGCCCTGTGCAACCAGGAGGCAGGCTCAGGTCTTTGCCCAATGTCGGCCCACCCAAAGCCATTGTGGCGGCTTTCAGAAGGCTGACGACCAGCAACCGCTCAGCGAACCTTTGGAATTTCAGGTGCGGGTTCCGGGATCCGGGAAGTCGGCGTCGAGTGCTTGGGGGATCTAGCGCATCCGGGGTTTCAGACTCAGGCTTTCTAGCATATTTAGGTTTGTGGCGCTTTTTTGCAGGTCTGGCGTACGTGGAGTTTAGGCTTCCGCAGCGTTTTCATACCCAAGTCTGACAGTGGGCGTGAGGGTAGATAGAAAAGCAACTCTTCAATTATTTCAACATCCCTTAATGCAGGAATCCATGCTGGGGGAACCTGGACAAATTTGAGGAATAGTCTTCATTGATAGCACAGAGAGGGACAGAGAGGGCCAAATCAAGACGCTTGTGCTAGAACTATGATGCAAACTACTGAGCCTCCTGTCACAGCAGACTCAAGTCACTCGGGTTCATCCGCTGCTCGCGTGAAAATGCGCAGGCTACCAGCAGAGCTTTCCCCAAGAACAACAAACAATGAGACGACTGTCCATCCCTCTGCGTAAACCTTAAGCATCCATAATCGTATCCCCAAGCCATGAGCTACCAACGAGCTTCTCCTGAACCCTCTCTAGCAAACCTTCACCTCCTAATTCCCTTTGCCTATTGCATGCAGCTTGCTGGATTCATGCCTGGCCGGGAGCTGTTCATGTTCCCATGTTCACCACTTTCGCAAGAGCACTTAACTCCACATGCTTTGTTCCTTAACCCAAAGGCCTAATTCAAACTCGGAATTCCGCAAGAAGTCGCTCATTGTCTGAAGCCTTACTTCGAAAGCAAGTTTTCCCCAAAACTGGCGAGAGATCCTCAAAGTTGTGGCTGCATTGCTTTACCCTGAACCGTAGACCCTGCAGCAGAACCTCAAACCAACACTTCCCCCGCTCCCGCCCCCAAAAAACAAGTGTTCCAAGTCCGGCCCGGGAACCAGGGCGCATGGGCCGCCAGTGGTACACAAGCCACCAGAACTGTGACGCCAGAACCATCCCACACCTGTCTGTCAGGGGTCCGTCAGGTGTTGAGGCGTTTCGACGCTCACACTCACACAAGGCAGGCAGGGCTCCACATAGTCCACAATATCTCCACTACAATTGCAGCATACGACACTGGTCAGACTTGACCAAACATAACTGAAACCTAAACAGCACACAGCGGGACCAGCATCAAACTGCGTGTTGGGACATGTGCCCACTGCTTCAAAAACAAAAGGTCTCTTTATTTCGGCTCTTGGGTGTTGAGGCTTTGAGTTTATATGTTTATCAGGCAAATACTAAGGGCTCAAGTTCGGGCTGGGCTTTGGGATTTCTCTGTGCCATCTCTAGACTCTAGGGACCAACTGGAAAAGTTACAATATTTCATACCTCGTACCTCGAATTTCATTTCACTAGGTGTCTCTATTTCACAACCTCGTGTACCTCGTAGTTTCGATCTCCTGCTTTATTTCAGCACCTGGGTTTGAAGTTTGAACCGGTACCACCCACCCACGCACTCAATCGCTGACTCACTGCCGCCCAGAAACTGCGGCACCCAAGCTGCGCAGCTGGGCCAGGCGAGCAGCTACCCACGTTGCGAAGCTGGACTCCTTGAGATGAATGTGAGACTTTCAACAAAAACAAGGACTGGCATCCAAATTGCAGGACTCTACATTAATAGTAGGACTCTCGGTGAAGTGTTCGTGTGCGTGGTCAAGCTCAAGCCTACCGGGAGAGCCGAGAGGGCTCCATGTGAAGTATTTTGGCGGATACAAGAGAGAGAGAGAGAGAGAGAGAGAGAGAGAGAGAGAGAGAGAGAGAGAGAGCGAGAGCGAACGAGGGACAGAGAGACAGAAAGAGCGAAGAACAAAACAAGAAGTGGGACCAAACCCAACAGTGCTCGTAGCCTGGTTCTGTGGACTTTGAAAGGCTCTCCGTTTGGAACCCTGCACACTGACCCCAGTTCCTTTGTCAATTCGGGCTCCTTAGATGTTGTTTCCCAGTGATGGTTTGATGGGATTGCTCGAACCTCGTGTGAGGCTCTGGTGGCATCGCTTCTCGAATTCAGGGCTCCGGCCAAGGAGCAAAATCCAAAAGCAAATCCGGCTAGATAGACTGAAGCGACATTATAGTTGTTTATCTATTCATTGTGGGCTGTCCTGGTTTGAGGAGGCTGTTGCGAGTGCAGGCTTTATGAGTCGCTACCGCTTAGACCCAAAGCTGAAGCTGCAGTAAGGTGACGGCCCTGTCCAACTATCTTGTTCTGGTGCTAACTAGCTGGCTAGCTACATTGCTCTCCTTCTTTTTTGAATTTAAGGCTTGCTGCTGATGAAGAACACGTTCTGCAGCAACTCAGAAGAAACCCATTCAAGGTACAGTTCTCAGGGTTTAGGCGACTATGCTCAAAACAGAAACCATGAGAAAACACGATCCCAAATGCGCGGCCGTGAAGTTTAGCATCCTTCGATCCTTCTCCGTCAGCCGGAAAGAGATTTCGTGCGCCTTCTCCGGGGCTTTCTCCTCAGCATCAATTGCAAACCGTATATCCAGCACATATGGTCAGCTACTGTAGGGTCTGTACACCAACTTGCATGTTAGACCCAAGATCCGGGGTCTAATTGCAAAGTTGGTGTACCACACCCGGCCGAATTGTCCGTATTAGAGTGAAAACGAGCAATTCAGCCGGAAGCATCCTCCGTGAAAATTGCGAACAACTTGTCACACCTGCTCTTGCACCGCTTGTAACTGCACTTCTGCGGCAGATCTATACTGCTGTGAGAAGGACCTGCTTCCTGTCGAATAGACATATTCATGACATAGGCACTCAAATCAACAGCAGACTTGAGCGGCATACCTCCAGCAAGCGAACAAGGAAGGGTCTAACATGCCAAGCCGACTGAGGGTCTAATATGCCAACCGTCGCATCTTACAGTAGACCCCAGCGCTTCCGATTACACTAACCCATGATTTCAGACCCTCGAGTAGCTGAGGGTATTCCAGCACTGCAAAGCCCGAACTAAACCTACCCTCTCAAACACGCAGGCAAGTCACCTTGTCCATTGGTTTCTTGGGTGGCACTGGAGAGCTCAAGAGATCCTCGATGTCCTGCGTGTAGAATTTGGGCGGTTCAGGTTTCGGCGTTGATTTTTGAGGCTTCGGATTCCTCTCTCACAGACCCCTCTACAAACCAAACCCTTGGATCCTGAACTGCCCCATATGCCACGATACCAAGAGCCCCACAAACCCTGTAGTCACAAAACATAGCAACAAACAGCGGAGCTCCCTCGGGACTTCAGGGCTTTGCTTTTTCTTGGTTTGGCGGGTGGAACCCCAAGAACCACATAGAGAGCTGGAGACGCCTCCAGAAACAGATGCTTCGGATCCAGTATTTCCATTAGCAGCTTCTTGGACGCCACACAGAGGCTGCGCCTCCGTAACACCCAGTTTTGGACTCTGGCGGTTCCACTATCTTTGCCGGCTCATGGTTGTGGTTTAGGGAACGGGCGACGTTGCAGGTTCGTTCTGGGGGTGAACCCTGCATCCTGTTAACCAGAGTACCGCCATGGTGTCAGTCAGGGAAGCAGACCAACCTCAAAATCAGAATACCGATAATGCCCATCTCTGTATTCGCTACGACTTCCCCCAAGCCCTGCACAACACTTGGTGGGACATTAGGAGGTGTTTCTCGTCATGGATTTCTGGTGTGCTAGGCCCTTCTACGTCCGACTAGGTGCCGCTTCGGGGGGGAACGCTGTAAGCATCACCCGAGGCCTTTAGGAGCTGCACTCTTTGTAATCCTGAAGCCCTGAAAGGGGTGGTGGGATGGCTTTGCACATGTGGCTGTAGGTGAAAGACACCAACAACCAATTAACAGCTGCCGGGCTACCCGGCAGCTACCGACCCCGCGGGAGAAGTCTTTCCAGAGTAGAGGCCTATCTAGTGAAAGCAGCCCTGAGGAATACATGACCATGCAGCATCACGGAGAGTATGTCAACGTGCAACGATTTACAAATCACCAAGGCTTCGGTGTATCTGTAATGGCGGCAAAAGCACTACTGGCCGAAGCATGAGACTGAAGAGTGTCAGAATTTCTTCAAAAAAGGTCCGAACAGCAGTTCTTCACCTTGCACTTCAAGCCCCCAGGAATGCATACAACCCACTTTCCAAGGAGCTGTGTCGACACCAGATGCCGCAAGGCGTTGCCTGCCAGCCTCAGTTGTAGGACCATATAATTAAACTCTCCACCCAGAGCAACAGTAATATTGAGAATCCGTAGTCGACACCCCCAACCTGTAAGGCGTATGCCGAAGCCATTTACTGGTAGACAGGCCCATCTCTGGGCATCATCTTCTCCATGCAAATTAAACCCCATTCGCGCTTCCCAAACCCTTCTCTGGCGTCCGAAACCGTGAATAAATCTTTGGGTGGGCCTTCATTAAAGTGTTTAAAGTGAGCAGCCTGTAGAACAACACCCAAGCACAAAACCTCTGTAAAAGTAGATGCTGCTTGAAGCGATTCCGCCATGGAAGTTTCGGGCCTACTATGGAAGGAGTCAGGACGATCATGTCCCAAACATGGTGACCAGAAGCGGCCCCCAAAGCTTGCACAGGTCGAATTCGAGTTCGGACCCCATTTCATCCACGTCTGCACCGTACACCCAGGATCAAACCCTGCAGCCTCGAATAGTTGAAACATTGAGATTCTAAAACGTGGATTCCCGACTATACGGACCTGCCGGGCAACTGCCGAACGCGAGCGGAGGGATGTGCCTGGAGCTGCGTTGCACCCAGCAGAGCAACCGAGCCGAGGAGCTCATCGACCTGAGGATTTTGTTGTCTTGCGTTCATTGGGTTCCGGGTCTGGAGTAAGGCACAGCATGGAGAAGGGCACTCATTCATCATTCCAGGGTTCAGGGAAAGTTCAGGTTAGGCGTACGGGGATTGGGAGGGCTTCATGGTAGGATTCGAGGTTCAGGGTATGTATGGGCTTCTTTTGTAAGGGTTCCGACCTATGGGCAACGAATGCCTGCGATGCAGGCCACGCAAGACGCCAAAGACCACTCACCCCGCATGGCAAAAGTTCAGGCAAGCAGCACGCCCTGCAGCTCGTGGGATAAGCAGCTCGACCTCGGGTTCTCACTCGCAAGCCCAGGGCGGAACCATCTGGGCTACCCCATCGGATGTGTCGGAACCCTCAAGCCCGTTGCCACGTTGGAACTAGACCATCTGACGCTACGGACAATTATTCTGCAGGTCCACTGGCCTTTGCGGGCCATCCATGCCACACCGAGTCCGCCCGCTGATAGAGGCACAGTCTTTTCGTTACTCGGCGACAACGGGCAGTTTAGAGGTTATGCCGGGATTCCAGTACAGAATCAAGGCCGTGCTTCTTATTGACAAGCCGGCCGGATGACATGAACGGGGCCGAGCATATGTAAATTGCGATCCGACAGTACGAGAAACAGGGAGTTTCACAGAATGAGGGACCCCAAGATAAACACTCGATCGCAGAATCCCTTTGAAACGGATCCCCCCAATCAGGCACGCCCCTAACTTCAAGAACCAAATGTAAATAAATAAATATATATATATATATATATGTACACACATGAAAAGTGTAGACATTCAGTATGTCTCAATTAAGAACCAATCCCCAACGGAGAGGCAAGGAGCTGGATCCGACGTCTCTCCTTCAGAGGCCTCGATGGACAGGAGTACGCATTCAGCTTCGATGGAGTGTCCGCAAACGCTTTAGATGGTAGATGTAGCCGTGCTTAGTAGGGGCTGTAGCAGTAGTATAGTTGTCTGTGGAGGAGGAGGAGGAGGAGGAGGAGGAGGAGGAGGCAGAAGTAGCAGTAGTGGTGGGAGCTGCTAGCCGCTACGTCTTATTCTGTAGGGAAATAGACGCACAGGATACAAGCATAGCACACACCAGCGAGTGCGACAATGACATGAAATTAGCTGGAAGGGTCGTAAGCAAACAACCAATCCTTGCAGCACTGAGATGGACTGCTATACTGGTCGAGTCTAGAATTGTGTCAAGCAGAGCGCACACTTCAGTGCTGGAGGGTGATTTGGTCAATCTGGCAAGCTATTTCGGGCTTTGGGGGTCTTGCATGCGGTGGTCGGGATGGTCCAGAGTCTTGCAGCCTGCTTGTTCTGTCTTTCTGGTAAGGCCGATTTTGCAGGTGCTTGCTGAGCACTGAGCCCCGCACCTAACTTTCCGAGTGCAAAAACCCAAAGTGCTAATGCTTCGCGAGCATAGCGTTTCAATCTTAGTGTGGAGTTATCAGGACGCTTCAGTGTTGGGCGAGATGCTTTGGTACTTTGGATCAACGTCCCTCCAAAAAAATCAAACCATGCATCTGACGTCGGGCCTTGACGGTGGCCACTGGGCATAAGACCGCCAAGCCTGACGCCAAGGCCTGAGACTGTTTCTCAAACCAAGATCAGGAGGCTTTGAAGCTTCGGTTGTTTCGAATTTGTCTCGGCGCGTTTCAACTTTCGGTTCTAGGGTCCACGACAATAGCATGATGGTTGATGGTGATGATGATTTTGATGACGCTGATGCGGATCGCGGTCAACCGACTCAGATGGCAAGCACTATCAAGTCACTATCACCATCACTTAGCATGGTGTCGCTCGCCAAAAACTCTGCCGCCGGCGAGCCCGCGCTAGAGAAGGGTCCTCGCGCAGCTGCTTCAGAGGCTGTGCCTTGGCACGTATGCAGCTTCTTGTCATTGGCCGGAGGTTTGTCGGACTTTCAGTGTTGATGAAGCGGTTGTCCATGATCGAGGTTGAAGCTGTAGTCCACATTTTGTAATTATGATGTGATGCTCCTGGTAATGGCCGATGCTACGTGTGGCGTTGACTTTGCTGTCCTGGCTATGTGGTGTTTGCTGAGGCTACATCAATGTTCCCACTCACCTTAAAGTTTCGGTCCGCTTGACATGATGCTCCGAACTTGGTCTTGACTTGCTGTTGGCGCCACCATGAAACTGCTGTCATATTGGCAGCACAGCCGAGGTCGGGGGCAGTCGTTGCGCACACAGAAGTCGGCCTACTGGCTAAAGTGCAGGACTGTTAGACTGTAAGTATAGCTTGCAAGACTCTTAAGCCCTGAACGCCCCAATCTGGGCTCTAGAAGCTAAGCATAACAGAACATCACGCCCTGGTGGCGTGCTTTTTCGTGTGTTCGTGTTTTCACTTGCACTCTCAGATGGCAAGCTCAGCAAGCTCTTCGTTTCCCGCAACATTGTTTTAGCAGCATACAACATTTTACGACGTGTTCTGAATTGACAACAAATTCCACCAAACCATTTGAAAATGTTCGGGCATAACCGAACACCGGTCCGAGAGAGATAAAGTTATGGGACAAACTTTCAAGGACATAAGGGCATGGCCTTAAGGTGTGGCTCTAGGCCTCTAGGCCTTGGAGTATGGAGGCCTGGAGCCCTGGAGCCCTGGGGGGGGGGGGCGCCAAAAAAAAAAGAAAAAAAAAATCTTGTGTGCAAAATCTCTGGCCAATTTTTTTTTTTTTTTTTTTTGGCGCCCGGCCCCCAGGGGCCATCCGGAGGGCGCATGTCTGTAAGCAGAGGATGCCTGGAGCCTTCGGCCTTTGGCACTCCCAATCCAGCGTTGCTCAATCATTTCAAGGTTTCCAGTATGCCACCAATCCTGTCCTGTCCAATGAAACATCCCTCTGTCAAGACTTTACGCTTGCTAGTGTTGTCCACCACCTAGGAAAGCGGCTCCAACACCTGAAAACTGTGACAGAAGTATGATGGGTAATTCATTCTACACAGTAAAAGTATGATGGGAATAAGATCCTTGTACCGGGACCCAAGTTCAGAAGGAGTTATTGGGCCTCGAACCCAAATGCATATGATGGTCCTAACCGTCTCAAGAGATGCTGGGTGGCGAACCCAAAACCTTAGACTGTAGAAGATATTGGACCCTCACCCAGAAACTTAGACAATGCAGTAAAAATTGCAAGCTACAAAATCCTTGTTATATTTGAGGCGGAACATATATAGTTACCTGGAAGCCAACCTTGGTATATAGGTGTTTGTACCAACATATATATGTATGTATCTATATACACGTCTGTGTATGCATGTTGGTATATGACATGAAGGCATGCATACACACCTGCATATGGATGTGTATGCTTACATACACACATGCTCATGCTGTTTCCATGTTCATGCTTTTCCCATCCTTATGCACACATACATATATGCTTAATACATATGTACATACACGGGTATATACGTACATACATAAGTATCACGGAAACATGTGCAATATTTCTGAAATAAGCGAGCATATGTGTATGCAACAATGAGGCATTTAGGCAGCCATGCACTGAAAGGAAAATGGAGGGCCGCAGGCTCCTATCCCAAACCCCGAAAGGGCATGGTGGGTACAGGATGCGGAATTTCAAATCTGTGTGGAAGCACGTCCTCCACACCTGTACATATATACATCTACATATACATGTAATATATGTGTGTGTACATATATATATATGCATAGATATGCACGTATACAAGTTCATGCACTCTCGAAGCCTATGCAACCATATACAAGTTCGTGAACTTTGGAAGCCCATGCACGCGCACACACATGTATATGCATAAATCTATCTCTATATAAATATGCACATATAGATAGGTTTTTTTGCGATATACATGCAAGTACCTGGGTATGTAACCGCAAGGCCATGCTGCAGTTGCACACACGATGTAAATTGGAACCTTGCAAGCATATTATGGGTGGATGACACATGTATACATGCATACACACACATATAACTTTGTGTGCATCACGGAAATGGGTAATTACATTGTCTTTGGGATTTACATGGAAGTGGGTGGATGATGGCGAACAACAGGTCTTCAATAGAATAACTGATTAACATGCCCTATTACACCGTAAGCTAATCCTTAAAAGGTGTGGCCCACCCAGCCAGAAATGCAAATCACATTAGGGGATGCTGGGAGACCACCAGAATAAAAACCAGAGTCTGAACACTTTAGTACATATCACGGGCTACACTTATCCACGAAAGATATATAGTGTGTAGCGAACCTGAGTACCGAAAAGGATGACGTGTGTCCAGAGCATCCAAACTCTACTGGAAGACATTCGGCTGAAACGCAGTGCCGCGCATGGATGTAATGAGCCAAACCCCCGTAGAAGTTCGATGAGTGGCGGAACCACAACTGGATCCGTCAAATCGATGACTGTTTTCCCAAATACAGGCAGACTAGAAGATATTGCACTCTCAATCCAAGGCTTCAATAGTAGATGACGGGGTAGCAAACCTTCAAAGGTGGCAAACCCCTCAGAGCTTTATAAGTGTAGCCACGGCTTCAGATGCGGTTGTATATACACATCGATGACGGTCTGCCTGTCAATATAGTCGCTTTTATGCTGCAGCCCACGCCACAATTTCAATCCCTAGTTGAAGACATGATATATACAATAAGTTACAGGTCAGCATTCGTATGCACATGTAAATATACACATTTCCATAAACACGCATCCATTAAAGCCAGATGCATATGTGGATAGACACCCAGGGGTTGTGATGGATTCTTAATGATTTTGACATGATATGCCAGATCACGCACCTCAACTTCAATGGAGATGCTGGATGGCAAACCTCCTCCCTCTTCCCCAACAAACTCCTACTTCGTGACATGCCCAAGACTCAAAATCAAGGGTGCATGCCTGGATGAGGCAACACAACGCTTAATATTCTGGGTGCAAAAACTCGTGTGAAAACCTCTAAATTACCGAGAAATACACTCTCCAGCATAACTGGGTGGCTGGCCTGTGCCAGGAGCTGAAGGGACCGCTGCATCACCTGGCAATCGGAGCAATCTCTTGCTTTCGGTAAAACCAGGTAAGGGACTAGGGGTTAGGGGATGGGTTTACTCAACTCGCTGTTTAGGGCGTATGATTCAGGATTCAGTCTTGCTCAGTCATGCTTGCTGCGGCAAGAAGCACGGTTCAGACACATCTGTGCGCAGTTTAGAATCGGGCCTTGAATAGGGTTTCGGGTCCATGGCATCTGCTCGCTCGCAGGCAAAGCCAGGAGGTTGCTGGTTTGCTGAGAGGTTTACGTCTGAAGACCATTCATTGTTCTTCAGGCTCAGGAATTACTCGTACCTCGGAGCAACACCAAGTAATGCCCCTGCTAAGCTCCCAACCAGGTGGCCACAGCGGGAGCACAGCCAACCAAGAATCTTGCTGGCCCTTGAGAGACCATGTGGGAACCCTGCGTAAATTAAATGCTATATACCTGAGCGAACAGCCCCCCTGCACCCTTGAGCTCCTGCACCACCGCCTGGGATAAATCCGAATCTACTGTCATGCAGAGGTCTCTCTATTCTAAGGAGCAAATGCAGCCTCTTCAGGCGCAGCTGTCGGGCCCGGCGTGGGGTCGAGTGCACGCACCTGGGCGGGAGGTCAAGATGATCACTGCCGGGTTCTGCATGGTGCGACGGAAGATCCTGTCACACCTTTTTCGACATTCCCACACCAAAACCCAAACACCAAAAACCCTAAATGCCAAAACTTCACGAGCAGTCGCAGCCCAAGCCCCCGGCCACGCAACCAAGGTCTGGAGGAGGCGCAGGCCCCCACGAAAGGCCCTGCAGTCTCCGAGTGCACGCGAAGCTCTACATTTTTGTTAGATGTGAAGCTTCAGTTGGATGTGGCATCATTGCGGGGATGCCTGAGGGTTCAAGGCCTTTTTGTTCCTCTATGGCTTACTAGGCTTGCTCCGACTTTTCATTACTTTCCCACACCTGAAGGGGTTTCCCGCCAGCTTCGGCCGCCTCTACGATTCAGCGGAGTCTCCCCGATGTCATCACAGCTTTGGGCTTTAGGGCTCTTCCGGCGCTCCAGGGCAGGAATAGGGTTTGGGGGTATACCATACTATAATCATGATAAGGAACCCCCAGAATAGTATAGGTTCACAACAGCCCCCCTTAAAGTAACTATAAGAACTTGCTAAGCTGGCGTCGACAGTCCCAGCGAGTCCTGCTGAATTTGAGAAGCTTAGTTCAGGACTTTCACTACCAGCTCATCTACTCAAGACAGGGCATGGATTGTAAAGGGGGACATACCTGGCAACTAGGCTCAGCCTCGGGCTCACGTTCGTCTTCGTATGTCCTTTGCAATGTAACTTCTCGATTTTCTGGTGCTGTAACATTGTATGTTCAATTGCCCCGATTCAGGCAGCCTAGTTGGCGAACATGCCAATTGACATATGTCAGGCGTCCTGCAAAGCAAGGAACTTGTGAGACCAGAACAAAGCACATTCCCCGTTGAGGTCCATAGGGCCCATGTCACTCCTCAGTAAGATTAGTCTATCCCTCGTATGGACAGCACCTTCAACCTTGTGCTTGTGTTCTCCAGGACGGGGTGCAGGGCGCACGGGGGCCAGCTGCTTCAACGCCGAGTCGGTACCGAGCCTTGGGCCATTGGGCAGGCAGAAGAGGACACAGCTGCCGCGTTCGAAACGGCAGCGGTGCTACGCACTTACGGCTCACCTCGGCCTTCAGCATTCCATCAGAAACTGTGCTAAGGCAGTTGGAGCTTCAGACCACGGGAGGTTATCACAGTGATACTACTGGAAGCCTTTTCGGGTCATCTTCTGCGTCCCCCTAAGCTCCCCGCAGAACACAAATCACAAGCCACCGACCCCGAAGTGTTGGACCCCTGGCAGTCTGCACGAGGCGGAAAGCGGTTGCTGCTTCTTGCAGCTCGCATCCGTCACTGCAGAGAACTTCAGCATAAAATTCAACACACCCGATAGTGTTTCAACCACAGCCCATTTCACGCCTTGCAGTGGCCGTTCTTCGTAGGCGCTTCATGGGACGCTCCCCATCCGCAGCTTCCTCGTCTGTGGCTGGGGTTCGAGAAACTGCTGGCCTCCATGCTCTCTGGCTTACAAGCCTCGTGCTTTATCTTACGCTTTTGCTATACAGGACACTCAAGACCACTCGCGGCCTCTGAAACATTCCAAGGAAAAGGAGTCCCTACCTACCTAGTTTTTCATCTATCTGATAAACTACATTCATACATACACACTAAGCACAGAACTATACAGTGCACACCGGAACACTCGCTCACTCCTCACTCACTCCCTCCCTCCCTCCCTCACTCACTCACACAAGAACGCAGGCCCACACTCACGGAGTGAGCGGAGAGAGAGCGAGAGCGAGACAAAAAGAAAACACACCCACACAAACATGCACATAAATCACCATCGAAAACAACGAATGCCCAGCGCACAGACTAACTGACGCACACACACACATGCAAACACAATACAAGATGCAGTCATGTACGTTTCGGCTCTAGGGTGTATCCTACCTCAACACATTATAGCGGACAGCCGAAACCCGTTGATTTGGCACACACACCCTGTCATACCATCCCGGCCTCGACCAACACACCTCCTGTCGCATCCCCGATGGCCTTCTGGAGCTCGGCAGGTAACCTGGGCCAAAGTCTTCACGGCCGAAGCCTAGACTCCTCAAGCATCCTACTGAAGCCTACATGTGCTTCACCTATCTGGAGCTGTGTTAGCGACTGTTCTCGTCAATTGACTTTTCTGGCACTTCTGCTTGTATCTGCACTCGACTGGTTGCACAGGTGTCTTTCTCGCCGTTTAGTGTTACATTTAGGTTCAGTGCTAGGGTCTCAGTGCTAGTGCAGCGTTTCAAGTTCAAGTCCATCTGATTTGCTCTTCATTTGAGGAAGTTGGTGGCAAGCTTTGGTCTCGGAAGCCACGGACGCCAGTGCATATGGCCTGTGGCTTTGAATTGGAGGGTCTTGTTAGAAGGAAGGAAGGGCCGGAGACACGGCCCGGGGAATTTATTTATGGAGCTTGAGAACGTCGGGGGGGGTGCGTTGTGGCTTGTATTTGAGCCTTTTCGGCTCTTGCCGGCTCTGAAACGGACCACCGCAAGTTTAAGACTATCTGGGGAGTCCGGCCTCGGCAGAATGCTCTCCAGCTGCAGGTGAAGCCAGCTGACGGCCTGGCAGGGAGGCTCTAGTGAACGCTCGCACTGAATGCCCGAACCCTTCAACCGGATGCCCTGAAACGACAGATTCCAACGAATCCTGTGCTGGGGCCAGCCTGGGTTCTTCAAACATGGCCGTTATGGCTCTAGCATAACCACATCCTGAACTCCACATAGCCACGGTGGGGCATTCAGCACAAGTTTCTCCACGTTCTTCTTACCCATCTTTGCAAGGACGACTTGCGGCTCGAAACTTATCTTCATGGCACCTCAACTCCGAACTGTGTCCAAGCTGCAGTTCAAGGTCCTGATGACAATTCTCGTGTAACGAAACCCGACCGAAGCCCCTCGGCCTCCAAACATGGGCTTAAGGCATGTTCAGGGCCTGATGCGGGATTCGACATGTCGGTGCTATGTTGTCATCTCTGGCAGACGCCCAACATCTTAGGCCTCGTTCTGGCGCAGGGCACGGAGAACCCCAAGCAGCACAGCTAGTGCCGGGCTGCGAGCGTCTGTGCCGGGCTGTTGGACCTTCGGTCACTGAGGTTGAGCCCCTACAGAGCTTTGCATAAATCTCGAGATTTGAGTTGATGGCTTGCAAATTCAACAGCGGACACTGGAAAGGGCTGAAACCGAAGGCTGGGATTGGAGGCTACGCTGCGTGCTTCAATGATTGTTGTCTCTGTCGCTGGGAGTATATGCAAAATGAAAACGGCTGCTTGTGTACTGGTGGTCATCACGCCTCTACTCCCAAGATTGCCTTGAGCGGTTTTGCCCACGGACGCACAAAACACTACCGAATATGCGTCGAGAAATTTTGTTTGATCCATGCCCCTGCCACTCTCAGAGATGATGTATGTGGGAGCTCAGTGGAGTCATGTGAATTTCAGTTGCATATGATATCTGCCTAGGTCTATCGTGCTCCACTAACCTCTGAATCCGACAGCATTCGAAGGGCCTCGGCCAGGCTCCAGCGCAAGGTCCTGGGCTCGTGACTGGTCGCCTTTTACCGTACTGTGAGCATGAGCTGTGTGGTGTAGCTCAAGACCATCCAAGACCTCCAGCATTTCGTTTTGGCGGCAGGTGTAACGCTCCGGACTTCTTAAGACTGCAGGAACATTGGAGTTTTTCCTCCACCTGCTGCCATGCATCTCGTCCCGCTGCCGGGCCAAGCGTGCGAGCCCATCGGAGGGGCTTCCTGCACACAGAGGGTTTGGGTCCTCCCAGGCTTGGGGGCATTCGGGCCGGTAACAGGGTTGTGGGGTTGTTAATATTTCTCAATATTGTTTCGTTGGAACGTTTGGCCCGAAGTCTCGGGTACCGCATAAACAAGCTTCCTGCCATTATGTTTTCTTCCTGTTGAGATGTCATTGCAGCTGAGAAACGCTGGGGTCCAGGACACAGATAAGCTTCGGGCCTCCTGTAACGACACGCCTCATTTCAGCCAACAGTACGTAAATTCGAGACATTCCCACCCAGAAGTTAAGCGCCCGCAATAAGGGACCGGGACCAGTAATTTTACCGAGACCGCGTATGTCTGCAAGCGCCGGAGTTGCTGTCTTTTCCCCAAGTAGCTAGCAGCCAGCAGCCATCACTATGATAGCATTGCAGTATACCCCCACGCTGACCTTTTTTGAAACCGGACACTGACCTAGTATTGGTTGGAGAAGCCTCCACCCGATGCCCAAAACCTAAACCTGAGACCGAAACCACTACAGTACCCTGAGAAACAAGACTTTGTCGTTGACCCTTACCTCAAACCCTTCTTCACGTCTCTCATAAGGTCTCTCATACTCTTGGAGAAGCAGCCTGACGCAGCTGTGAGCACTTGTCCGACGATGGTGCCTAAGAGGGCAAAGGCATGCGGGGCTCCAGGTTTTCTCGGTCGCCTAGGGGCAGTCTATATCGGGCACGACTGCTTGGGATGTTCAGTTCATGCTCGAGCGTGATCAGTTACAGTATCGTCAAAAATGAAAGAAACCATCCAGTGCACTTGTTGCCGACACCGCATCACGTGGGATAAAACAGTCCAGACATGCATGGATGAAACCTTTTCAGGCATGCATGAAGTTGCGTAGTTGTACACCTACCTTGGGGCTCGGAAAGGTGGACTTGAGGCTTCAGCATGATATGGAGCTACAGAGACTTTCCATCCTCGTCATCATCATGATCACCATCGTCACCCTGTGATACCAGCGAAAGATAAGATGATGCTCGCGATTCATTGTCACTTGTGTTGGAATATCTTTTTGGACTTCATGGTGGGATGCATGCAGGTGCCAATATGACAAGAGTAGAACCCGGAGGACCTCAAGCGCCAAAGCCGCCCCTATACCTTCGTACGAATCGTGTACGCGCCCCGGAACTGAAGAGGTTACTGTCAAGATTGCCAAGTCTTGTAACAGTGCTTCTTGTGTCGAAGGTGCCCCAAAGTTATTGCTAAGAGGAGCATTGTGCTTCGCTCGTGAGATTTATCTTAAGTCCAAACCAAGCATGTTTACACTTGTAAGACTGGCCCAAGGAAAATAACCGGTAGTATAGATCGTATGTTCGATCATGCAGGGATGCCTGCAAGACAATATTGTCGTGTAGGCGCCTGGTTCTACTGGGCTTTATTACTTGGATTCTGCATGAACAGTTTCGGGCGAGCAACTGTTAGAAGTTCCATGAGTTACTGCAGTCAGCTCGCTGCTTATTGTATACAGACGTTTAGAAGCTCGCGCTGGAGTATGGAAGGGCTGAGTGGCCTGGGGTCGAGAATGACTGAGGGGGGATCTAATGGTGCAAAGTGCTGAGACTCTGTCACCCGTTCTTGACTGCATACTCAAGACTGGAATCATATGTCATATACGGGACCAAAACAAACCACTACCATCTGGAACACAGGCACCCACTCTGGTCTCTACGCTTCTGCCAAGCCTCTTAAGTCGCTACGGTCTCGCCCACGGAGGCGTTCACCATGCTGAAGCAAAAGGGCCAGGAGGAGACGTAGCCGGCTCCCGGTGACATGGCCCATCCAGTCCACGACAGCTCGGAGAAGCTCCAGCACCGCCTCGCAGGGAATTTTGGTTTCAGGCAATCCTTGCAGTTGCTCCGCCTCGTCTAGAAGTACGAAGCCTGAATCATGCTGCTGCAGCTCAAAAGACTCAAAAGCCATTGGGCTGGTAATGTAGTCATGCCACCTTCGGCACAAAGGGTGCCCAAGTGCGGATCATCGGGTCAAGGTAAAAGATCAATTCCTAAGCAGCGGGCAAAAGCATGAACATCGTGATTATTAACTCATGGCTAGTAACTACGCTCACTTAAGATCACATCTACATAAGTACCGCATACTTCTACAGGAGAAACGTAAACCATGCAAGGTCATGCTGTACGGTGCTGGAAGGCTGCTCGGGCGCTTTGTCAAAGCTTGGGTTGGTTTCGGTTAGAGGCTGGGGTTTGGACTTCAGGGTTTAGCTGAGGCACTGGCATGAGTATCGTTGTAGTTCTTGTTTCGGAGATTTAGCAACTTAGGGGCTCCAAAGATTGAAGCCTGCTTGGCCGCTGTGCCATAAAGTCTAATTTGGATTCAGGTTATTTACAGCTCTTGAGGCCCACAGGCAGTCTTAAGAAGCTGGTGGCTTCGGCTTTGGACATATTGGACGGCTCAAAGTTGAGCAAACCTTGAGAGTTAAATTCCAACTGACTGAGAGAAGACCTGTCAAAGCATGTCTCCCGGTGGAACAAGCTGCAAATACAGGACCTGTGGAAACTGCGAAATAGTTTTCTCCCAAATCGACTGCCTCAACGGACAAGCTAGAGCCCCGGACCCCAACAAGCTAGACCACACACTCACGTTCGAACATAGCAGGGCTGTGAGGAATAAGCCCCTAGACCCAGCAGGCAGGGCAGAAGGGCGGTACCCCCCAAAGCATCTGAAAGCAAATGTTTGTCGCTTCGAACCTGAGGAGTGTATGGGCTTTGGGCTCCGGGTAAAAGAGGGTTCAGCATTTAGACGAAGTCTGAGTTGAGGGTTTGGAGGCTTTAGACCGCAAGCCCATCTGAACCCGCATGGTCTTGGGTCTCAACAGAAAGCTCTGAATTTCTCGGCCCTCGTCCCCAACTCTCAACCGTTTCTTCTGCCCAGGCTTCCCGGAAGTGTCGCGCCACGAACTTCTTCGTGTCCGCCCACTCGTAGGCACCGGCCACCTGTGCCGAGGTCTGGCGCAAGAAATCTGTAAAAGTTGTGGCTTCGTGGATTCGCGGCTTCAGATTCATGCTGAAGGCCTCAAACAGCCGAGCCTCCGTACCGAATGAGAAAGTGTTGCAGATGATGAGTGCAACGAAACTACGCGACAAACTCCACAGCAAAACGAACAACCCCAGCAAGCTGCAAAGCGCATATTTCGCCTCGCGGAAGGCTGCCGCGACGGCCGCAGGGTTCGTCTGATCTTTGTAACATGGCTCGTCGTAGGTGAGCAAAGGCAGCTGCAGGGCGAAGGCGAAGATCTGCCCAGCCTTCCAAGACTGCAATAAAGTATACTAGATAGCAATATAATTCTTTTTTGATCAACTACGTCCTATTCTATGCCATGACTGTGGCATCGCGCTTCTGGTGTTTTACAGTCGCACTGAGCCACTGAGCCTTGGCTACCTTCTCCAAGAACCAAGTCCAAAAGCTCGGCTTGGGCCTCGCCTTGGTCTTCAGGAGTGTAGCCACCTGCTGCTCGCCTAGGCGCTCCTCCGCTGAGGCTATGCTTGGGTTTGGGAGCTCAGCAAATCAATCTCCGGAAAGGGCGAAACGACTACAAGTTTGTGAGTTAAGTTACGGCTGCAGAGATTTGGGCTTAAGGTTTGGATGCTCATGGCATAAGCCTTGTGGCATGCCTTGGCTCCACGGTTTTCTAGGCAAAAGTCATTATTTACGGAGGCACCAGAGTTGAGAGATTGCCTGCTCGGGGTCAGAGAACATACAGGGTTTAGGGTTAAAGTTTGTGACTTTATCTTGACCTCAGGTTGTGGTTAGTTCAGGTAGATGCTAACACCTGAACTCTGAACTTAGGCTCACTATTGGCTACTATACTGTCACCCCTTGACCCCTTGGTCAGGTCTTCCCACCCCCATGGTCCTGGACCCCCACCCCTCACCCATTGGAATTAGATTTACTTCTTGTGTGCTTGCGGGTGGTTCTGGCTTTCCGCCTCCCGCTGTGGGTGTGGGTGGGCTCGGGTTCGGGCTGGATCTGCAACTCTGGCTGCGCGTAAGTCTGAATGGATTCTGAACTGTTGGATTTATCGCCTGTCCCCCCTGTAAGTGTGGATGAATTTGGGTTTCCGTTTCTTCCATACGCCGTGGCTGGGTTGTGTATCTCACTGCTTCATGTGGCATTGCATCATTCGAACTTGTAAAGCTGTGAGGCTTGCTATCCCGTCAATATGCAGAAACGACAACAATTAGTAGGATGTCAGCCCCAAGTCTTCTCGGTGACTGTAGCCATTGCTGCACTATCGGAGTGCTGTCAAAGTCCAGAAACGGCAACAGTTGCGAGGGTTTCGGCACGAAGCCACCTCGTCTTTACGACTGTTCCGATTTCCGAGGAATCATTAAGTACCCAAGGCAATCACCTGCTACATTGAGTGCATGTCCCCCAGACACGCCATAGCACGACCATGCTTAAAGCCTCTGCAAATGCGAAGCATAAACCTTCCATCCATGTTGCGTCTACACGAATCATGAAACCAAACATCCCAAACCCCTGAAAGCGTCTCCTGCAGACCGGCAAGGCTGCGCCTCAGGGGCACTGTGCAGGCAGCCAGGGGCACGCCCAGAAGTTCCTGGCAACCGAGTTAACGGATTGTAAAGGGGAGGTTCCGGGTTAAGAGTTTAAGTAGTATAGGAATTCAGGTAGCTCGTCAGCCTCTCCAACCATAATGCGTGATTGTCTTTCGACGTGCACGCTGGCGCGCCTGAATCATGTGTTGCCCATGATCCCGTGACTTGGGTTGGGGTCTGCGTGGAATTGGCTAACTTAGAAGCGTTTTGGTGGATCCGAAAGGTTTGGGGCTGGCTTGGGGTGTGCGATCCTCCGCGAATGACCGGATTGCGGGTTGGGGTTGTAGAGGGATATTAGATTTTGAGAGGGGTGTGGGGGTTGGGCTGGGAGATAGACTCTTGAGGATGTGCAGGTGGTGAGTAGTAAGTAGTAGTACAGTAATAGTACAATAATACAGTAGAAGGAGAGTAGTACAGCGCAGTAGTAGCACAGTGGTAGTACAGAACATGAGACTTTTTCAGTGTAGTTATCTCGGAGTGATCGGGGTTTGGTTTCAAGGCTTTGCCAAAACCTCGAGGCCAAAACCCCATCGCTCCCAGATAAGTACCCACGCTCCCCTCCACAATCGACCAAGTCTGAGGCCTGGTAAAGTATTAGTTGCAGTAGTAGTACACTAGTAGTTAGTACAGTAGTAGCACAGTACTTGTAGTGCAGTACGGGGATTTAGGAGTACCTAGAGCTGTTGGGGATCTAGGTTCCTGACCCTCCACTCAATTAAGATTGACGACGACGATTAGCAGAAAGGGCCCAAGCAACCGCCCCCACAAATTTTGAAAAAAACAACGCATTACAGATTTTGCCGAAATTCATAGAATTCAATAAGCTTCCAAACAAGCATTACAGCACTAAAGACAGTCGCACATTACTGCTAATGCGACGCCCCGTTTTGGCCAGAGCGATGCTTCAAAGCTCGACATGCCGTGCAAGCGACACCAAAGTCGCGATGCCGACACATGAAGAGTAGCCCCAAGCTTGGGCGGGAAAACGGGAGGGTGAAGCTTGAGAATTTAAACGTACACGTACAGTCGGCCTGGACTCGGCTATGCACACCGCAAACACGTTCGGAGAACTACAATGCTAATGCGACGCCCCGTTTTGGCCAGAGCGATGCTTCAAAGCTCGACATGCCGTGCAAGCGACACCAAAGTCGCGATGCCGACACATGAAGAGTAGCCCGTATTTGCGACCAGATTTACAAGAGTCCAGGCCCATATTTGCTCTCCCACTGGCTTCGCCGTGGCTCGCCACTAAAGAATGAAAAGTTCGAAGCGATCCTTGCGACTTGGTTGTCAAAGATGCAGTTGGCATAGTGCTTACACAGCCCTGCGCACAACCACGGCACCTTGTGTGAAGGGGCCACGTGCTTGTTACCTGAGAATCTACACCAGCGCTTCGATCCGCAGATGCGCTCGCCGAGCTTGGTGAGGTCAAGAGCAACAGAAACAAACCGTACGGGCTTGCGGCAAAGGGCTCCATAACCACACTGATCAACCCGGGCAGCGGCGACTCCGGGCTGACGCATCACAGCGAGAACGGGCGGACACCTCCACAGCTTTGATGACGCAGGAGCTGCAGCAGAAGCTGGCACCTGAAGGACTCTGCATAGACGAAGCAGTTTGCAAAGAAACCTCATGTAGGCATTGCCGGCATTGAGGTTGAGAAGATCACTTGAAGGAAGTCCGGGAACTCCAAGCGGGTGCATGGCACTACGGAGCGGCTGAGGTCCCGGCGGCTGATCACGGGCACACGAAAAGGACCTGTTAGGCACGGTAAAATGAACATGTTGCACTCGCCCAGAACGAATCCAATCAAGGATGAGCCACCGTCTGCCGGGGTGAAGGAGGTCGTATCCACGGCCGCCCTGCAAGTCCCAAAACAGCACACAGTGACCACATCGTCGTGCAACGGCTTGGGCAATGCCACAATTTTTCTCAGCAAGCACCAGTGTCACGCGAACTTTCGGCGATGGAGGCGCTTTGAGGGCAAAGTGCACACCAACTTCTCGATGCCCTCCGCGGCCTTGAGAGCTTTTGATCTGACAGCTTTGGGCAGCGACTGAAGCTGTTGAGTGAGCCGGCCCCCCTTTTCGTACCTCCGGACGGACGCGAAACTGCGCCAACGACCTCTCTTCTGGACCTCGGCCAGGGACCGCAAATGTAGAGCCACGTCCCGGCTCGGGCCGCCATGTCGGAGGCGGTATGGGTGAGGGTCCCCTATCGCTTGCGATATCCCCAGCTTTGTGCCTTGCTCCTTCATGAAATCGAGGACTGCGCTGGCGCTCACACTGAACAAGGGCTCGTCCTTCATCCTCTTGCCCAAATCCAGAATGTTGTAAAGCGCCCGTGCCACAAAACAAGTGTACGGCAGGTCGAACAGAACCGTCTCGTCGAACTCCCCCGTCTTGCTGCTGGACTGGCACTCCGCTGGGTGAAGAACCAGTGCCCAACTCGTTATGGCGCCCACCGGTGGTACCAAATCTTGCGCTCGTAGTTTCGTCGCCTCGCCCGGTCTGAGGTAGCATACAAAACAAAGGAGCATGAATAAGGCCACTTCCATGAGACCGAGCTCCCACGCGATCGAGGCCAGAAGACACACCACTTCCCATGGCAGCGGAAGTCTTGACTTTGGGGGGTCCAAACGCTTCCAGCCCTGGAGGCACTGCTTGGAAAGAGGGAGAAGGGTTTGCTTGGGACTTTTGAGATAAGGCAGCTTGAACAGGACCGCCGCAATCATGTATTGCCCCATTGACAAGTCCTCGCCCTCGTCGAAGAGATCGTCCAGGATCTGACTCAAAGCTCGGTCGACATCGACTGCCGTTGGAGCGTCCAGCATCCGAAACCCCGCCCGTAGACAGAAATCCTGCCACAGATTGGCATACCTTTCCCGGCATGCTGGAGTCACCGAAACTTCTGCCAGCGAGACTCCCGGGGCTTTCAAATTCTGGCGCATGGATGCTCTCTGCTTCTTCGTCTCCAGTGCCCTTGCGGAGCCCAGCGGAGCAGAGGGGATCTGAGATGTGGCTTTCGCTCTCGCCACCCTTTTGCCCACTGCCGGGTTGCGCACTTTCACATCTTGAGGAACTTGAAGAAAGCGGTGCACCACCATCAGAGACACATGAAGCGAACAGGGAACCCCGCGATGGACCGTCTGCTGGATTCCACTCACCGGGGATATACCGATAGGCAACGCTGATCCCCGTTGCGAGGCAGAGAGCAGCAGCCTGCTGCGTCACACGGCGCATGCCGAATGCACGCCCTCTACCGCGGTCAAGAGCGCAAATGGCAGAGGTAGAATCGGATAATATCAAATGTCGCTTGTGAAAATTGCACCCACTTCTCAGCAGGTGTTTGATTGCATGGAGCGACGCTCTCGCCTCGAGGACTGGCATACCCTCCTGCCGCTTCCATTTGTAGCGACCGACGACCTTCCAGGTTTTCTTCACCGCTTCGAACGACACCGGCATGAATCTGTCAGAAGCAGCCTTGCCCTCGACAACAATAAGAGGACGCCGTGCCTGGTGGCGGCCCTCCCATTGACATACTGCAAAGCTCCGACCTCTTCGGAATCATCAGCGACAGATGTTGCAAAGGCTGAGGCTCTCGGTAATTTGAACTCGTCAAGCTCAAACCTCCACCGCTCGGAGTAACGACCGAGCCTGCGGACCTCCTCAACCTCAAACTGCGCAGCAACGGCCCCGAGGCCCCAATTTGACGCATCGACAGCTAACACCTCGGAGGACCAGGGCAGTGCCAGGTCACGCCATATGAGCGGGGCCAATCCACACCACACTTCAAGCTCGGCGAACAGAAGCCCAGAGACGATGAGAACGGCGGTAATACCTCCTCACAAAAGTGTAGCATTCCCCAAACACCGCCAAGATCTCTCTCCGACCCAAAGCAATGAAAGTGGCATGACCGAGGACCTTCTCGAGTTGGAGTCCACTGCAGCATCCAACCTCAAGCAACCGGCGCATGGCAAGGATAACACGCCACACGCGATGTTGTAAAGGCCTCATGGTCGTCCCTTCAAACTGCCACCCCAAAACCTTTATACTGCCAGATGCGGTCTCCTCTTCGTGCACCACTAAGCCTTTGGCCCGCAATGCATCCGCACCGGCAGCCGACAGCTCCAGAACCTCCGATTGGTTGGTTCCCAGCACTACGAAGTTATCGACGTATTCCAGATGCATACACCCCGGAGGCGGTGCCGCGGCCTTGTCCTGCAAGCAGTTTGACGCCACCGCGCCGACGGTGCCCACGATGTGCTGGTGCACTGTCTGGCACCACCATAAGGCATGACTCCACCCCATAGGTAAAACATTCAAACGTGGAAACAGAAAATCAGAAGCCTTCACGCGACGACCACCTAGACACTCGACTCCCAGAAGGCCCGCCCGGACACGACGCATACCAAAATATGGACGTAAGGCCTCTGGCAACTGGAAATGGTAGAAAGCATCTTTAAGGTCCGCCGTCGCGATAAACAGACCGTCCACGCCTGTGTCCGACTCGTCGTTGAGATCGATTCGGCTTAACGCCTCCGCGGTACATAAGGGCCACCTTGTCAGGGGCCGAAAACCACTGGTTGCTACGGCGACAATCAAGATTCGAACCAAACGCAGGCGCCCATCCTTCTTGCCAACGAAAAAGGCTTCCACAACCTCCTTCGGGGCATCCCAAGACAGCTCGACCACCCCCGCAGCCATCAACCGACGGATGAAGCCAGCATACGCATGAGGCTGCAGTAGGCGAGGATCACTATAGCACTTCTTCACCCCGCATTCCTTCAAACACTTGTGGGCCTCAATCTCCCCAAGGAGCCTAGACGCGATGAACTCGTCCACAATGTTCCGCCCTTCTTCTCCGAGCAGCTGGTCGAGAGGCACAGGCATTGAACCCCCCTCCGGCAAACTAAGGAGACCAGGGTCATAGGACTTGACAGCATACGGAGCCTGGTTGTCCCCATACCCATCAAAAGCCCGAAGCTGCCGAAGCGCTCCTGGGCCATCAAGCCCCTTAGGACGAGGCCCAAAATCACGCACTGAATTCCGAATATGCTGAAGAACGGCAGCCTGAGCCTTGGAAGCACGAACGTCCGGGGCACATATCGCACCAGGTCTACCTCCACTTTACAAGGTGTTCAGGCCGTCCACGCAGAGGTCCACCATAGCCTCCCGGTGCGCCCGCCGCTCGATCCTTCGACGAACAGACCTGCACCCCGAAAAACCTTGCAGGCGAACCTCAGGTGAGTGTGGTAACGGAAAAATATCCCTAGGCACAGGACACCTAGGGCAAGCAGCGTATGAGACTGCGGTCCCTGCCGGCTGGCTCGCCTCAAGGCCAGGCGGCGACATGCGGCGACCCCCCATCTAGGGGTCGTCCTTTTTCTTGCCCTTCCTTGTAAGCTCCCGCTCTTCACGAGCTTTGCGCATGTTTTTCGCGAGCTGAACGTCCTTCTCAACCTCGGCTTTCACATGGTCCAATAGGGATGGCGCTATCATCAGGGTCCCAGCTTGTCGCACCAGTGATCCGAAGGTGTAGTGCTCCTCCAAGGATAATTTTCCACCGACGCTCTTGCCCTCGAGCTCGCGAGCACGTTCAGCATGAGCGTATTCGATGGTCTGCAACCTACGGAAAAGCAGCTCCACACCGTAGCAGTTGCAAGCATCAACCTGGTCTACTTGAATCAATTGGCGGAGCACCATCGACATCTGGAAATGTTCTTGAACTCCCCAAGCTGACGAGTCGATCTTGCACAACTGCCGGAAACGCTCATGATGGGCCTCGAAGCCCAAGCCCTCCGCGGATAGATACGTCAAGCACCACAGGGTGGTCCTGGGCCCAACGATTTTCCATCCCATGTCCACCTCACGACAAAGGCTCACCACTTCAGCGAGCGGCCGCTCTGGCAGCCCTAGCGGATTCATCTTTACTCCAAGGATCCTTCCATCACATGCCGCCGGCCGCTGATTGAAAGCGGAGGCACTCGAGGAACTGACGCACATACAGAAAAGGCCCCTGCCATCACCCAGCGTGTGCACTGTCTTCGCACCATCCGCGGCAACAGCAACAACTCCCGGAACCTCCTCTCCATAGCGGTAGCCCCCGGCGGCCTCCGCCGCGACCCACACTACACCTCGGCCCTCTAAGCCTCGCGCTCCTGGCGCAACGAGCGCTCCACCTTCCGGCGCCGCGGCAGCCACACCACCACCGGCTCCTGCGTTGGCAGGCACAGCTACAACAGCAGCTGCAACAGCTGCGGCAGGAGCCGCAGCAGGAGCCCCAGCCGCGGCAATCTCCGCAGCTGCCTCCGCTTGAAAGCCAGCGATCTCCGCCGCTGAGAAGTTGGGGAGTGCGTAGACATTCCCCGCACGTAGCCCTAAAGGGAGACCTGCTCCTGGGCCCCTGATGCGAACCCCTCGAAGATCCGGATTGCCTAGGGACAGGTCCTCAATGTATACATCTCGGTCCGGAGTGACGATGGCATAGCATTCAGCGGATTGGTGCAGAAGTACAAGTCGTTCGTGCCATAGGACTGGGCCACCGACGTCATACTGCACAAACACACGCCTACCTTCCAAGGCCATTTCTACGCTGCCTGACTACCGCGAGTTGTTGCAAGGCCAAGGCTCGCCTTTGCTCGGGTGACGAATCCTCTGTCCCCTCGTCACGGAGTTCTGCTCCAGTCTCCCTTGTGCGTCGGGTGCACCAGCGCAAAACTCCAATCGTCCAGATCAGAAGATTGACGATCGCACTGAGGCTAAGAATGAGCAGCCCTATAACCAACTGAGATCCAACCCTGGTAGGTTTTTGAAGTGTTGGGTGTCTTTGCCCGCCTCAGGAATCTGGGAAGGCGCCTCACCACACAGCTGTGCGGAGCAGCGCTCTGCAGTTCGAAGTGCAATCTCCTCAAGAGGGACCTCGAGGAGTTCTCGTCGAGACCGCCTCCCCTCGAGAATGCCACCGACAAAGTACCCTCCCAAGAAGGTGCTAACTTGCCACACAAGTACAGTGAGCAAGGTCCCAGATCCCATAGCAAGACAGCCTACACTCACCATTTGAAGCTTGAGAATTTAAACGTACACGTGCAGTCGGCCTGGACTCGGCTATGCACACCGCAAACACGTTCGGAGAACTACAACACCACCTCATGCGTCGGGTTCTCCTGAGTAGTCGGAATCCTCATACTTAATACAGAATTGTAAAGCTGTCCTGGAACTCTGCTGAAGACGCTCCCATACCGCAGCATGGGGCGACTTCGCCTAATGCGGCGAAGTCCTCCGACAAGACGATGGCCTGGGCCGCACGAAGGCAGCTGGATCGGACTTTCAATTGGGGGTTGAGTGAATCTGAAAAAGGAACTCTCCTTACAAAGGGCGCTCCTGTGGGTTACTCTGGAGGTCTGACCTTAGGACAAGCTTCGGGGCATGTAGAGGTGGCTTTCAGAAACCTGGCTCACCGCACTTCAAAGCAGATCTTGTCATTGTTTACGGGTCTTCTGCTGGCTTTCTGGAGGGAGGGGAGACGAGATGTCAGACTTAGCTACAACATGCACCCATACAAACGTCGGGGCCGTGCTGGTGTTTATACTTGCGGCAGTTGCCGGGAAATCCTCGAAGGAGACCCGCGCGTCAAGCCAATAACCCAAACGAAGCCGGAAGCGAAGTCTCTCAATGCAGCCCGCAAGTCTCTCAACCCTACGTTTTTTCCATCTGGACAACTGCAAATGACTGCAAAGCCCCAAACCAGCAAAAAGACAGGAGCAACACCATAGATGCAAGACAAGCCCACGGCCCCAACGCTACAAAGCATGAAGACCTACGCACATGTGTTTAAATCTCTTTGAGGTCACTAATGTAGAGGTTACAGTCCCCAAACAGTCATACTATGCCATCACGCAGGTTCATAACCAGTTTTTATGCAGTGCCGAGAGGCTGCAACCGCCGCCGCAAAATGGCGGCCAAGGCCCCACCGCTGACCTTTGGGTTTAAGGGGGTAATTAAATGGTTTAGGGTGTAGTGAAGGCTACTAGCATCTACAGCGAGATCATGCGACGGCGGCGACGGAGACGACGACGAATCCGACAAACTACCATCGTAGCAGTTTTTTCGGCTGATCATTGCAGCCATGGCCACCTTGCACCGACTTGCGCCTTTCAAGAAACGAACTTGTAATGCCTACGGCGACATGTTGGTGAGCGTGCTCAACTATAGGGTTTAAGTACAAGGGCAGGAAAGAGCAGAACAAGCTTCGCCCCATAGATCCCACCTCGACCAGGTAGAGCTGCTACTCCAGCCGCCGCCAGCCCAAGGTCCGACAGAGGAAGCTGTGTCAACCGGTGCCGAGCCTCGGTGTGTTCTCCATTTTTGAGTTGACTTGGGCCCTGGGCCTCGGGCTTCAAAGTTCAAGCTTCATGCCTTAGAAGACCTGGCACAAATCGAAGAGGGTCCAAAGGTAAACAACATTGCCGCTGGACGCTTCCGAATCGCACACTCCGCCTCTGCCGAGCAGCGCGGAGCACGGCGAGGAAGATTGGTGCGCGAAAGACAAGCGCAAGGGGAGAGGGCTCTGTGCCAGAGGCGGTCGCGAACCCCATCTCCTCCGCACACAGAGGCCCAGCTCTATAGTAGTCTAGAGGCTAGAAGTCTGTGTTTGCGGACCTGGAAAAAGTCTTAACACTCACAAAAATCCTTCAAGCACTTGTGCAATTAAGAACCACAATACCTCGTCCAGCACGCCCAGCGCTTTTCTCGCAGTTGACCGCAGCTGGGCCTGCGATGTGAACGTGCGGGGTGCTGTGTTAAAACTTTGGGCTTCTTGTTGACATAGAGAGAAGGATCCTCCTATAGTGTCTCTTCATCATCGAATCTCCCATGTCTCCAAAGATTCACTCACAGGCCTTGACCTCGGCACAAATACGAGGCAGCACCCGGTGCCTCGACTTCTGCTAGGCTTTGGGGTTTCGGGCTCCTAAATCAAGCTTCCAAGGCAAAAGGGACCGGAAAAAAGCGCGAACATTGGCTGAGCCTTCAAGGTTTCCATAAGATTTGGCGTTTATACATCATGGCATCTTTGGGGCTTTTCACGGCAAGCTACTCTGAAGAGATGCTTGTGACTTCTGTATTGGTGGTGGTGATCCGTGATCTGCACATACATCACATCTGAAGCTTTCGAGACATGTGGTGAAGCAACACCGATAGTCCTTGGCTAAGCAACAAACCTCATAACTTTGGAAAAGTCCTTAAAGAGATGTATGCTGCTTGACTTAGCTAAGCGGTTCCGTAAACCTCCCTAAGACACGAAGCCACGACAGACGCCAAGCTGCATGTAGCCTTGGCAGGCGACTTCTATTGCCACCTGCATGCCGACCAGTGTCACGGAGTCGGCTGCCTCCTCCAACAGATTCAGGCTTCTCATAAATTACGCACTACAGTACAGCAAGGGCTTCTAGAGGCTGAGATGGTCGGATCCCCGAGGTTCGGTTCCTTCAATGTTCGAAAAGAGAAGGCGAAGATGAGCAAAGAGGAGGCACTTGATAGAACCGAGAACACGCACATGTCTCCAGAACAGCGGAAGCAGAACCTTAAGCAATCCTGTATTTCACAACCTTGACAACCTTGAGAATACCGGTAGACCTGCGTCATCACCCGATCCACCAGAGGCTTTAACTCCTCAAGCAGTGGGTCGCTCCTTGGCTTTCTGCTTACGCCAGCTTCTGCTTCTGGATCATGTAGGGCAAGGGTATTTTGGGCTCGGGGCTTAGAGCTCGCGTCATATCTTTAGCTTCGAGGTGAAGTCTTCAGGTGCGGGTGTCTGGTGCGGCTTCGGCCGCAGGCAAGCCACAGACTGAATGTACCGAAGCTACCAGCACGCGACCGTGGAGCCTAAACTAAACAAGCAAACATACGTACATACACATACATACATGCATACATACAAATAGTTTTCTACATGCATACATGTTTTACAGTTTCACACTTACATATACGTACATACACACAAGCAGAGCACACACAAACACACAATACAAACACACACACGCACGTCCTTCCATCCATGCAAAGACAAAAGAGTGTAAGCAAACACATATGCATGTCTGTCTTTCGGTCGGTCGGTTTGTCTGTCTCTCTGCCTGCCTGTTTCCATGCACCTGCTTGCATACACGCATGCATATACGTGTGTGCGAGGTTGTGTAAGTATGCCTGCGTGCACACAAGGAAGGAGGGCTGGCTGGATGGATGTATTGAAGTGCTTACAGTACATATCTGTGCATAATATGATATTAATATGTGTTTATATGCATACATGGAAGCGTGTTTCTGCGTGCAGGTGTACGTAGGTAGGTCGGGCTGTTGGCATTCAGTACCCTTATCTGTACATAAAATAATAAAATACATACATGAACATGCATCTAGGTATGTGTGCATACTCACGTAAGTATGTATGTCTTTGAGTCTGTAAGTCCGTATGTATGTATGCATGCATGTACACGTAGCACGGAAGAACGAGAATGACATAATGAGCGAGAGAGTTAGCTAGTGAGAGAGAGCGAGAGAGATGGGATCCCTTCCATACTTCCATCATTCCTTGTGATGGAATCAGAATCAGAAGATCTGCGAAGCCATGCATCCCCAAAGACAAACACACTAAGCCTCAAACCTGGGTGCTACGTCCATACCCAAGGGGTCGTAAGCCCTGGACCCTTTCCTGCTGCCCATTCCTGAAACTATTCCGCCTGGAATCTCGAAGGTTTCAAAAAGGACGTGGATGGAGGTCTTGGCCACCTCCAGCTGCACCTGGTCGCATGCTGGGAAGCCCGAATCTGCAAACGCAAACACACGAAACCCTAGGCCCTAGGCCTTATAGTCCTTTCATCTCTGTTCCTGACCGTAGTCTCCGTAACTACGCGGGGCAACCAGGAACTGGTAAGAGTGCTGTAGGGCTGTCGAGCTTTAAGACTTTAGGACCTATGCTTGTTTGCTTTGGAGGCTCTAGGAAGTGTTCTGCCTTAACTTCCGCCTCTTCCCAAGGTGCATCATACATCACGGTGTGCGGTTCATGCCGGGACAAAGACTGACTTGTGGGTCCTTGAGGACTCTTTTATCAGTAGTTTTGGGGACCTGGACTCGACAGCAACTTGGGCAGTCAATTTTCGCCTGCAGTTCTGCCCCTCGCTGACACACAAGCTATCATTCTTTCTCAGTAAATGAAAAAGCTTGATCGACGTGTGGGGCGGTACCCTTAGCATACACATGGCTTTCGGCTGACCATGAGTATGACAACTTGCGCGACCTTTCCTGCTAGAACCCCTGTACTCAATGACACTGCACTACTCTGGCAGGTATTCCTACTATGATCACCATGACTACTAGTCAGAGTTGCCCTAACGCGGTTTCTGCAAACCACGGCAAATTTTACTAGCGTTTCCAATCTGGTCGCTAGTGCAAGTCTGTCTCTGCCGTCTATTTCTACTGCTTGCTGTGTGATTTCAGTTGCAAATCTCGATGTGCTCGTTGCCATGTCTGTGTTCTTTGCTTTCTGGATCACTCCGCCTGTTGCTGCGCACCGTCCTCCTACACATGCTGCATTTCCGTGAACCCCACTGTCAGCTCCGGCTGGCTGTGCTTGTGCTTGCGATTGTCGTGGTCACCCACGTGCTTCGAATGTCATTGCCACCACTGCGAGTACGTTAGTTAGCTCTCACAACAGCCACTGTGTGACGACCACAATTTTTTTCAGCACAACTAATGTTGTTTCGCTTGTAACTCATCGGCTGCGATTTGAAGCCCCATGCTCATACCATGAGGAGTCCGAGTTTGGGGGTTGAGCACTCGAGCCGAAGCCAGATAGCCCCCCTACCAAACAGCCTCATCATTAGTAGTAGTAGTAGTAGTAGTAGTAGTAGTAGTAGTAGTAGTCGTAGTCGTAGTCGTAGTCGTAGTCGTAGTAGTAGCAGTAGTAGTAGTAGTAGTAGTAGTAGTAGTAGTGTAGTGGTAGTGGTAGTGGTAGTGGTAGTGGTAGTGGTAGTGGTAGTGGTAGTGGTAGTGGTAGCAGCAGCAGTCGCAGTAGTAGGAGCAGTAGCTGTAGCGTGGCAGCAGCAGGAGCAGGAGCAGTAGCAGTAGCAGTAGCAGTAGCAGCAGCAGTAGCACATTACGAAAGTGCTGTAAACACAAAGTAAAATGCAAATGCGCGCAAGCATGTCGTCATATTACCCCATCCCTGGTCGAACCCTTCCGAAATCCGAAGATCGAGTTTGCAAAGTCGATAAGTGGGTTTTGAGACAAGAAGTGGTAGGACATTACGAGAGCAGCGCAAATACCAGGTAAAATGGATGTGCTCTTAAGATGTTGTAGAGGAAGCGTAGTTGGAAGGAGGGGTGCCAAGTACTTGTAGTATGTAGGCAGTAATAGCAGTATGTACAGTAGCTGAGCAGCAGAGAAAGACGACACAAACATCAAAAGAAGACGCATGGCATAGCAAAAAGAATGGAATAGAGACTAGACAGTAGTCATCTGACATAAAAAACTCCTCCGGCCTCTGGTGAAGAATCCTTCAGGATGAGATCCGGAATAACACTCATGCAGGTGTCAGCAGCCAGCTGTACCTGGCAGTCACCGGGCAGGTGATGAATACGAGGCACATATACAACATTTTTCAGACGATGCTGTCACAGGAGAGCATCAATTCGCTTACGAATACCATCGCAAGCACTATCAACATACGAGCATTAGAAGGTGCGTTGCGTACACTGAATTGACATGACCTGTAAGATAAAGGCTAATCCAAACCTGTAGCGACTTCACAGGCTGTCGTGGGAAAACCGAGAGGCCAGCGCTGCAGTGAACAAACTTGCAGCCATTATCGACACTTCCTCAATCTCACTTATCAAACCCATACATACTTTTCCTCGTGACTGAAATGACTGACAACTTCTGATACGATTCTTGCAACAGGAACGGTAGCAGGCAGCATCTGATACTGTGAACGACAGCAACCAAGAGAAGGTGAATTCCAAGGCATTTGCAACTTTACACAGCACCGCCATGCCCACCAATCTGGTATTCGCCTTCCCACATGGAAATGCGGATGTCGCTAGTAAAAGGACTGATACTAGATGGGTTCCTGATGATTGGATGCTATGCTATTTCATGGCGTCGCATGTATCGCTTCTAAGTAAAAACGCATGACAGGACTCTGTGGCCAAGCTACTCCGAACATCTGTGAGCCATAGTTATGCTCCATATTACCAGAGCAATCGGTGTCCATATTGAAGCACTGCACAGAGCCCTGGCGTGACTCATCCAGCCCATAGGCCCCAAACCCGACGCCCTGGTTGTAAAGCATTCATCGGAGAATCGAGGGCTCCCGATGACTGGGCCTCCTCTGTCATGTCCAGAGCTCGCAGAAAGCGCAAGCTTTGCGTCAACACCTTGAGTGCGCCGACCGGCGTCTACTGTTGCTGGTGCTGCCTCACGATTAGGAGTGTGACCATGGTTGCTACCATAATGGGTTACAAAATATATCAGGTCTTCTTCCCATTAGAACATTGTTGAATGCCTGAAACCCTTCAAAGTTTGGGGTGAAGTGCAGCAGAAGAGTGCCGATGTCAAGCCCTGCGATGCTTGAGCTTGAGCTGTTTCAATCTAAACCTGGCGTCCAGCCCGCAACTGCCTCTGCAGGGAACCGGATGAAGGCTTAAGTCAAAGCTCCAACCTTGCAGTGCCACGTGAGGTAGGACTTGAAAGGATGCCGCAGTCGAAAGCTCTACTGTAGCAGCCCTCCAGCCCCACTGGAATGACTGCAAGCGGTGAATCCGGATGATTTTGAGTGAGACTGAAATTAAGTGTTGGCAAACGAAAGTCACTGCTGGATGCTTCTGGGTTTGATTGGCGTCACGGTGTACAAGAAGCAGTATATTCGAACAAGACCGAAAAGCAAATCTGCACAACCCCGCAAAACGTTGGCTGAAGCCATCATCGCGGGACGACTCCATTCAAACCACCCCATCCCGACCCGTGATAAACCAAGATTAGTTTGAGACTGCCCTGTGTGCATGCTGACGGCAAGCACAAAAGCAGTCATGTGGGCGCGGGTACCCGAAACGAAAGCAGATGCCCAACTTCAAATCCTACACAGGTCTTTCGTGTGTTCAGGCTTCGGGGCTGGCAGCTCGAGTTCCGAAACTTCAGCTCTGGGCTTCCAGCCGCGGCGAGGGCAACCCTTCCCCGCTCGCCAAGCGCGAAGTTGCCCTGGAGCCGCATGGGAGAAGCAGCCCACAGTATTTCAAGCAAAAGCCTCGAGCTCTTAATTCGGATCCTTCGTGTTTTTGGGCGAAGACTTCAAGCGGTCCCTCGCCAGATGTGCTGGTTCGTTGCATGTCTCTGTCTGTGCAAGTGCGCACACGTTCGGGTGTAGCCATTTGTTAACATCTACAACCATCTTAACTCTACGTACAGCGGATTTATAAAAAAGAATATAGGCATAACGACTGTTCGACAAGCAACAGACTGGATACAACGAAGGATAGACACATCGGTGGACGGAGAAAGCCATCAAACTAGGGCACCATCATGTGATAGCTCCATGGCGGCCACAGAGCATACCCACCTGGAACTCCTTGACAAAACTCACCAAACATACTGTGCTGCAGTCGTGCAGCTTGGCTCGAGGACTGGTGTTTAGCACAGAGGACCGACCCACACAGAGTCCCAGAATGCGAGACATCCCTGCGGCCCCTGGCCTGGGCCAAGGCTTCGAGACGTGCCTTCGGCTGCGGTCGGCCGTCTGCCTCTTTTGAAGCTGTGGGTGTCAGGACAAGTGCAGGTCGAGGGTGGAAGGCCTGAGGGCCTGGAGGGTGTAGCACTGCTGCCTGGCGATTGTAAAGCTGCGACGCTGCTAACCGTCGAGACGTCTGAGGAAGCTGGCGAAGCTTGAGTGTCTTAACGTGTTGAGACTAAAGTTTGGTTCACTGGGGCCTCCGGGTGAACCTCCAAATGAGTACTGTAGCATTACTCTTCATTACCTGGGCATGAGCGAGTGAGTATCTTCATACTTTTATGTACATACATGGGACGTCAAGTTTCGGACGGTCGCACTGCACCGTGTTCTTTGGTTTGAAAATCGATGTCCTTCAGGATTTGACTTAGACTTCCTGGATTGCATGGGGGCAATACTAGGACTACCCGCAGCATGCTGCCAACAACAACCCTCAACCCCGAAAACCTGGCCAATGTTGTCCCTTGCAGCAGCTTTGGAGATGGCCTTGTAAGAACAGGTTTGCTACTACACGTTATGCGGTTGAAGGGCTATCCCTCATTCGAGGCCCGAGGGGTGCAGGTCGTTTGTGCTGACAGACCTGCTGGAATTGGGCTCTGGGCGACTAGCCTTGGCAGAATGGAGTAAAATGTGCTTCCGATTTCCAAACTCGTAACATCATCTCGTCAAGGTTCCACGTACAAGGACAAAACCCAAAGCCCCGAAAAAGCCCATGCCTGAGTCCTTCTCGAGAAAACTCTGGAAACCCTAGCCGTGACCCAAGTGCCCCAAGACTAGTGACGAGGATTTGGGCGAGTTTGAACTTCTCGATTTGAGGTTTAGGACGGTTCACCTCCTGGGCCCAGAGACGGCGCAATGCAGAGCGCAGCACACCGTCGTAGCCCCTGCGCCACGATGCCTGTGCGGCGGAGTTAAAGGTCTTTGGTTGCAAGGCTTCTAGGTTTCTTGGTTCAGAGATTTGTGCTGCGAGGGTTTCGGCGCTCACACTCGGACAACCCAATGAGGGTTTGGGGTTTCGAGTGTCAAGCATAGGCGCTCACGTTGGCTGAGAGTTGCAATGCAAAGTCAAAGAGCAGGGTCTGTTTTGGTTTGGAGGTTGCCGCACTTGTGTTGAGTGCAACCAATGCTGTACAAGAGCTTAACACGCGGGCGGCGGGTCGGAGGATATAGACAAGGTCTGGTGTGTCTTACCGCTTGGGGGTGTCAAACCCGACATCTGGAAGGTCAGAGCTTCGCACAAGGGTCTAGCTGCTGCCTTCGGGTTTCGACACGAACACTGGCAAAGGCGGGCAAACATTCAAGGCATGAGGGCTCGAGGCTGTTACAACTGAGGACAGTGCGCATGGCTTCACCGGGTATCCTTCAATGCTGCGTGAACTTACAACTTCATGGCACTCAGCGGCTGCGAGACCACAGTAACTTTACTGCGGACACTCATCTGTATGTTCTCCTGAGAGATGCAGTAAAGGGCCCTCCATCTCCACTGAACCCTGAAGCTCGCGACAGGGCTCCGGACAACTACGCCGTTCAAAATCCACTAAAGCTTTGGACCACAGAAGCTCTGCGCCCTTCACCCCATGGCCCCAGGTCAAGAGAGCTCAGCCACATAAGTCTACATCCGAAACACTCCGACCTGGATTCCTACACCGTATTGTAGACCCTACCCTATCCTAGATCCCAGACTCTTAAACCCTTGGATATTATAACCCCTGCGACATCCTACGACGGAGTTTTGTAGACTCGAAGGCTGGGGAAGCCTCGCAGGCTGAAAGCAGCTTCTTCGCCTTAGGGGGCCAAGGACAGGTCGCGACTTTTTCCGCAATCGAGTAAACCTGTTTAGGATTCCCGACTCTCAGCTTCGGCGCTCACACTCGGACTCTCCAGGCGAGGCATGTGTAGTGCGACATGTAGTTTTGGCGTCTTGCCAGCACGCTCAACCCACTTCTTACCCAGTCACCGTGTCTAGGAAAGATTCCCATTCCAGCGTGGAGACAGGCAGTGCCGAGGTGCACCAGGCCTGATGAACAGCAAGCTACCGCAGAAGCTTCTTTTGGGGACGGGTAACCATGCACAGCCTTCAGGCGCCACAAACTGGTTTTCGGCAGGCTTTGAACCATCCGGCGAAAGCCTCCATCACAGCTTCGGCTGTTGCTGCGAGGCCCGGCGGTGGCTGGCGCCAGATCGGCTGATGCTCTAGGTACCTGCCAACAGCTTTGGGAAGGGAAGAGCTCTGAGGGATTATGATTAGGCTCTATGCTCATCACCTTCTTAACTATTGTTATACAGGCACTGCGGCTTGTCATAGCAATCAGAGAGTGATTGTGGGCTTGGCTTCGGAATTTAAGCCGTGCCGGCCTTGTGCCCACAGTGCACTTGCGAAAAAGTTTACGCTCTCGCAACTCTGACGAACAGGTTTAGCTTGCAAAGCTTTAATCTAGCATATTGCAAAACTTTTTTCGCGTCACTTGTGCAATCGCCTCAAAGTCTGAACTTTCGATAATGCAAAAGCCCGACTGCGAATCGATGAGCGTTCTGAACCTGAGCCCCAAACCGGACACCTGCCGCAAAATATCACTCTCAATCTGGAGCCACATACTACGACGAACAGAATAGAATAGAATAGAAACAACCCTGAACCCTTCAACCCGACACCTTGCGCCCTCAACCGATGTCTGAAACTGTGAATTGTAGGAGCCGCAAAACCGTCAATCCGAAACAAGCGCTTTGGGGGGCCAGCTGAGGTCCACTGCAGCCAAGCGAAGGGCTGCCAGCGCGAGGCAGGGCTCCGCCTGTGTTGGCGGGTTGTGGGTTGAGGCTCCAGGTTAAGGCGGTTAAGGGTCAAACGGTTTAAATTTAGGGTTTAGGGGGAGAAGGCCCTGAAACGGACACTACCAGACCACCAAACCGTTAAGCCTTGCAGAGACGAAGGAGCACTTGCCGAAGCACGGGCGCGCTGTTGCCTGTTTTGGACAGAAGGGCTGGGAACCAGGCGTCAAGCTTAGGGCCCTTTTTGGGCGTAATATATGGGGTCAAGCATGGTTTACAGTACAGGGTTGAGGCGTTTGGGCACTCAGAACATTCGTAGTACGGATAGACGATAGCCGTAGTCGTCAAACAAACTCATCCAGAACGGCATAAACCCTTACCTCGTCGGCTGCAGCACCTGATCGCCTGGACGCTGCTAACTTCCTCACATTTGGCATTGCAAGCCCTCGAAGCCTACCCCAACTAGCCGTCTATCCAGCTCCCAGGAATGTTCTGAATCTTGGAATAAACATATGTAACACTCATGATCCTGACATTGTGACAGGGTAGTGCCGCGTGACTTTTCCCCGGTCCCCTTCGGTTGAACCGGGAACCTTACACCACAATAGTCTAGTGTGTATGTGTATGTGCATGTGAAAATGAAAAAAATAAAAATTCTTTGTATGTGTGTATATATGCACATATACACACTAGATGTGTTCTGGAAGGCCTATTTGAAAGCCTGCGCTATATCCGGCCCACCACATCTTCAAGACATGAAGCCAAAATCCTCAAAGCCTGCAACATCGTTGGGCCTCAAAGCCATCTGCAAATCCTAACCTTTAACCTGATATCCTGAAACCGACCGCAGAATCTTCGAAACTGCCTTCCACCACCGCTGCAGCCACCAGCAGCTTGAACTTCTCGGCAGAAACAAGGCTCCCAGCCTTGCTTGTCCAGTCCATGCAAATGGTAGTACCATTCGGCAACTCGGCAGGTGTCTAGGATCTACGGGAGGAGTGTCGCAGCGCAGCTCAACGCGCCTAAAATCTACATCTTAAGAGGGCCAGGAAAAGCCGCCCAAGCGGCTGCTATGGTCTCAGCCACCGTCGCCAGGAGGGAGGCAAACTCCTGAGAGGCTAGTACGGGCCCAAGAATTGCAGCTTTTAGGGTTTGTATGTGCAAGCTCGCGAGTGACGAGCTAAATTTGGGGGCATTGAACAGGAACGAACCAAGACGTCAGAGTATCAGAGTTTATCGTAAAGAAACCAACAAAAATCCATCCACATTTTTTCTTCCTGCTCCGTGCGAGCTGCATCCATAATGTATGCATGTATGTATGTATGGTAGAATAGACCCCAGAAGTCTCTCTCTCTCTCTCTCTCTGCCTCTCTCTCTCTCTCTCTCTCTCTCTCTCTCTCTCTCTCTCTATCTATATATATATATACATACACGTGCATAAGTAGATATATTCAAAGGCATAGACAAATAAACAAATAACTAGAACCAATACACACAACATGTGTATGTATATGTGCAGATAGACATGTTTGTCTGTTTCGTGTGTGTGTGTGTGTGCGTGTCTCAATGCATCGTGCCCCGCAAGAACAACCTTGTAAGTAACATCTATTCTGGAGTCGGGACGGTTTCATAGTGATACTGTGTAAATACGGGGAGTATATACACCTTCTTCAAGCTACTCCAAAGCCTCTGAAGCTTCTATCAAATCCTTAGTCTCACTCCTTCGAAGATCGAAGCTTTCAGACACACACGTCGGGCGGAGAGGTGCCTTCGACAGTTAAAAGAAGGGAAAAAGCACAATCTTAGGTCTGAAGGAACCATGGAAACCCGACCCGTGTACTGTTGACTCTGCTCTGGCTGTCTAGGACCCAGGATTGAGGGACCCCACCAACTCCTCTAACGCAAGGCCGCCGAAGCCTGCGAGTCTCCACAGCAGTCCCGCAAGGGCAGCACAAAAAGCCTTCGAGGTCGGAGTTTGGGCTATGCCGGGCTTGAGAATTAAAGTAGCACCAAAAAACAAACACGAACGCCGATAGTTTCTAGGGCGTCTGCTCGTCCACGAGCCTGCTAGGAAGATAGAAAGCTGCTAGAAGTGCTTCGAGCTGTCGGGTTTGTACGTGGATTTGTCTCGGCCACTCTAGTGGACCAGCACTGACCGACCGTTGGAATAGTCCGCTGCACTGCTCCCTTGCTGTGCACCGACGACTCGGGCGAGTGTGACGGCGAGGAGTCACACAGTCACATCCCAGCGAAACTGTTGCCGGCTGCATGGGGCCGCGAGGCTTTGGATGCTTTTTTTTCCCTCCTACCTAGCAAGGACGATGCCCGCATTGCAGGGTGTCTCAGTGGAACAGTTGACTACAGCCACGTGCTTTGGTATTCAAATCACGGCTAATTGGCACTGTATCAGACTCAATGACCAGAGAGGCAGACTATTCCCGTCATCGAGTGAAAGACGTAGTCCGGACTCTTCACTTCTACTTTAGCAGAGAGCCACGTAGCCCGGCAACCTTTGGATGCTTTTGGGCCTGAGGCTTTATGATGATTTGGAATTCCACAGCCTATGCCCAACACAGACGTGTAAGCTGCCGAACAAACGCCCACATGCGGCATGGGCAAACACAGCTGGAGCACAGCTTAGCGGGTGCTCCGCGATTGCAGCCCGGTACGGTGAACAGGTAGACACCGGTATAACCATATGACAAGCCAAGCACTTTACATAACTTGAGGTAGCCATGCCCCAGACATGCCCAGACTGTTCGTAGATGGGTCAAGCCTCGTATCCTTGACCTGCTGCCAGCAAGTATCGTTTACACAAAATTTGTGAGAGGCTTTCACACAAGCTTCACCCGAACTATAGTGGGTCGGGGAAAGGCAGCGATGCCTCCGGCGTTGGCGTGCTGAGGGCCAGGTTCGCAAACCTTTCGGCCTCGCAGCTCATTTCAAGCTGGTTAGGGATTTGCGTGAGGTCAGCGAATACAATCGTGAGTCTGGCTTGTCGTTGGAAGCTCGCACGACAAGGTGTAGCGTGGCTTGCCGCCATGTGGGCTTGAGGCTCGGAGGGTCAGGGACGGTCAGGTAGATCCGCAACCACCTAAGCCCTAAGCCTTAACCCACCAAATCCTACACCCTCGCCAAAGCCCCTTCCTGGACGCGCTTCTCAAAACTAAAAATCCTGAAGCATCCTGAAGCCTGCACGTTAAATCGCGAAAACCCCTGGCAGAACCTAGACCTTTGAACAGCCAGTCTTAACCATAAAAACCGTATATAACCCTGAACCCAACAGCTCGAAGCCCTTAATGCTGCTTGAAAGGCGGGTGCGGAAAGCAGTGCGTGCGCGAACTGAAGTAGTCGACGGAGACCTCGGCTTCAGATAGACTTCAATCGTCTTATTTAGGGTATGGGTTTAGGGTTTGAAGGCTTTGTGATGGGGGCTGCAGGATACAGTAGGGGGCTCATTCTGGGCATGTCTGTATTGTTCCGGGTCACAGTGTTTCCGTTTGGATTGCTCTGCTGTTTCTTTGTAGTCTTCGGTTTGCGGCTATTGAGTGGGCTTTCGGCGCTCATTCTCGGACACGCCAGGCGGGGCGGGGGGGGGGGGGCTTCTTGGTGTGTAGTCATGTGTAGTCAATTGGAGGTGAAGCCTATGTCGCAGAGTGGTCGATAATATCTACTGAGTATATAAAAGTATGAAAACGAGCCAACCAATCGCAAAACATAAAGCCGCTAAAGGGGATATCTCACTAGGCAGGACACCTGGGAAGCTTTGAGTTGCTGTGGCGAACTCGAAACTGACTTCATGTAATAATTCGACTCCCGGGTGTTGGCAGCAGGATTCTTAGAAAGTTCTGGGGGCTGTGGTTGGAGCTTACGTAGAGCTTACGTAGGGCTGGGAGGGCTGAACCTTTAGAAGCTGGGGTGTGTCCTGGACTTGGGGTGTATGTCCTCGCGGGACTCCCCTTTGCGCTGCGATCTTAGATTGCGTGCACGTCGCATCTCGGCACGATGAGGTAGTTCGGATTCAGGCTTGTCTGTATTGTTGAACCACGGTAATTTTATATACACTTACACTAGAAAGAAGCGGGGGGAAGGTGGACTGAAGAAGTTTCAGCAGAATGCTGCTTTGAGAGCCGAAATTTTTTTGCCTCCTGCATGGCTGAATACACGAAGCAGTGATACAAGTCCATAGTTGCGAATTCTCAAGCTCAGTTCGAGCATCCTGCAGGTTAAAGGAGAGAGCAGTGCAAATGTTCAACCCAAGCATTGCTCGTTTTGAGGCAGCGAGGATCAGATTGACATGACATTGGCAGGGGTTCAGCAAAATGCCGTGAATTCCTAATTACAAATTATCAATTATCAAGTTTATTCACGCATGCAGGCACTCAGATTAGTTGGCTCAGCTTTGCATGCAAGATCGTTCATCAGTTTGGCAGCGGACGGCCAAGAGGTATCAGACACCAATACGAATGATACTGAAGATCCCCACAGGAAGAAGCAGACATCGACAGAGCGATGCATGATGGCAACAAAGACCAATAGGTCATCACTCCCAGATCATCACTCCCAGAAAGCAGAGAAACCAAATGCGCATCATGTGCCAGCAAGTATGACAGTTCCAATGGCAGCAAAGGCCAAAGGTCAGCACTCCCAGAAGGTAGGAGAAATTCCAGCAAAACACGCGTTGCACATTGGGGCCCATGCATCTGTTCAAGTCTGCAGCTTTTCCAAGGACAAGGCACTTCCAAGTATCCAAGCAGAATCTGGCACAGTATCAGATCGGACAGTCGAAAGGTAAGACAATATATAGAATCTTCACTCGCCACAACCAGGAAAGCCAAAGCAGTCCCAAAGGATCCACAATCGCTCTGAGTACGGCGCATGGTTGGGTTTCAATCCAGAGCCAAACAAAGAAAGCATTCATATATATTGTAAGCATGTCCTCTCAAGGTCAATCGTAGGCAGAAAAGCTTCAAGGCATGCCCAGGATAGGCAAATCCATCGCTGATACCATGAAAGCCTTCGAATAGATAGGAGGGAAATTGCAGGACAACTCGCTGTCCCTTACTGGAGCTTTGTATGTTGATTTGTCTACCGCAGGAGTTCTCAGGTCCCGGGCCGGAGGAAAGCTCGAGGTCTTCAATGGCTCTCATAAAGACAGTCGGACTCTGTAACAGTAACTCTTGCACAGGGTTCCTTGCTTCAAACCTGGCATTCATCAGGATTCTACTCTGGGTATTGTTGCTGCTAAATCACAATGAAGGCTTGGACGGGCTTCATGATGCAGCCACAGGCACTTTCCACAAGTGCTCGCTGAGGCCGGCTACCTGAAGCCTTCATGTCTCTGTTGTGTCCGTTACAAATATGGGACGGGGTGTGATAAAGACGTGGCCACACACACAGCTATTCTCCAACTTCTGGCGGTTTTTGCAGAAAAAATCAAGGTGAGATCAAGAGATAACAAATGTTCAAAGCCTACGATGGGTAGGCTTAGCATATACTGCGGACGCATGCGGACGCGACATGAGTGCGAATCAATGCAGCCACCCGTGAAACCTGGATCAATGATGCATATTCGGATGTCCGAAAACAAGGATCTTACACTTCCGAGTCTATTTCATGGGATCTTCCATTTCAATCGCATTCAAGCTTGGCATGGTATCCATGGTCCCAAGCTAGCTGGCTTCGAAAGCAGGGCTGTAGGTCTTGGACTTTCGGTGCAACCACAAGAAGCAACTCCGATGCTATCCAGTTTATGACAGTTGTAGTCTTGTGACCAACTTCCTTGATTCTATATGACTAACATGTTCCGTAATATGTGGGGAGCCCTTGTATGTCTAAGTTTCAGGTCGCGGGAGGGCCGCTGGACAAAGATCTTAAGCCTGCGCATCCAAAGCTTCAAACCTTGAAGTGTCCTCGCAACTGCTGGACTGGAATATGGATGCCGACTTGCAGTTCAGAAAAGAAGCGTATCCAAATGTTAAGGTCTGCAGCTCCTCCGGCTCCGAGGAACCCTCGCACCAATGCACATCCCGTAAGTCTTAAACTTCTCAATATTGGGTCAGGCCTGGGGCAGCCAAAGCAGGAGGCCAACTGCAGGAATCAGCGCCAGTAGGACCGGAGTCTGCCTCGTGGCTTAAGGGGCCAGCGCAACACACTGAAGTGTACGTCGGGTAGAAGGATCCCTGAACAAATTGTTCTAGAAACTCGAAACTCTGAGGGCCGTCCGGATTTACGGTATATTTGCCACATTTACAAACTCTTACTTCCACCTGCCAAACCAAACGCACTGCAGGGCCTTTCGAGAACTCTCGACCTTCTCCATGTTCTCGCAACCGGGGCGCTGCTGTAAGTCGGTCTCCTTCGAGGGATCCTGTGCAGCACGGGCAGCTTGCAGTCGGCAGTCAAACAGCGCCCAGGTCGCAGCAAAGCCCACAGCACCTGTGTGGGATTGTGCCGGGATGTCCTACTGCAGGGTCCCCCTTAAAGCCTTTATTTCAAACAACTTCGAAGACCTCAATCCGGAACAAGGTTGCAGAAAAGTGCTTTGCTAACCTTCGGGTTTGAAGGCCTCAGGTTCAAGGATTTCCGGACACGCCGCGCGGGGTTCACTTCCAGTATGTAGGGTGTCGGAGCCTTCGGCTATGCATCCTCCGGCTCTTGGGAGAAGAGAAGTGTTCAGATCCAATTCTCAACCCGAGAGCCACGAGCACGAAGGAACGAGTCCAAACGTGTGCCACTGCAGTGCCACATCCCAAGACATGCGGCCTGCCCCGCGTCCGCTGGACCCAAGTGGAGCCTCCTCCTGATCGCAAGCCGTTGCAAGCTCTACTTTACTGGAATCAGGGGCTCGGACGCATTAAGGCTTCCAAATTTTGACCCCGGTCCTGTCGCTGACGGCGCAGGGCAACAGCTGAGCGGGCATGGAGCAGCAGCACCTGCCCAAATCAGTTGGTCGGCACGCCCTAAGCGATCCGCGAAGAAGTACCAGGAGACTAGGATATGCTCCGCTATTTAAGCTCAGTCTTCAGTTTAAAGTATGCTAAACCCTCCGTCATCACAAGTGTCCGTATGAAGAAGCCAAGCCCTCAGACCTAGGGCCTGAGCAGTGAAACTCTGAACACCCAAGCCCAGAAGGCCAGAGCCGTAAACATCTCAAAGCCCCGAGAAACCACAACATCTCAACAACCTCGAACGCAAAACCAGTGCAAACTGCGGAAGGAACTGAGAACACGAAGCAACCACACAGAAAGATTTTGTTGGAACCCTCAAAAAACCCTCCGAGAGAACGATTGAAAGGAGACCCATACGAGCGAGGCACCTTTACCCCCAGAAGCATCTAAAGACAAAAGGAATCACTTCTCGCCGCTTCTCTTTGAAGAGTTTTGGCTGCCAGCGCCTCATCCATCTCTGACCCCAGCCCCGAGGCTCCCGCACCTCCAGGGTGGAGTTCTCACTACCGGCATTTCGGTTGAATTACTTTACCATGTCATTGGGCTTGTAATGGCTGAAGACGTTTGCCTCAGTGCTCTGTTCTTTTCTTGCCTTCGCAAGTGTTATAGTGAGAAAGATCTTATCCACCATTCCGACAAGTTCTGCATGCTGGAACAACAACAGACAGTTGGGCATTCTTCAGTCATGCCTCTCTGGAACTCGAGCAAATGGCACTGCGTAAGCCCTAAAGCACGGAGCCAAAGTTGTTTATCTGGATGTTTAACCCTAAACGGCAAAGGGCCAAGGCTACATTTTGCTCGAGTAGTATGGCGTGAGCATTTGTACTGGTATTGTTGATAGTCTGGTCCAGATAGTAGTCGTTGCCATCATCGCCATTGTATTCGTCATTATCGTGATGATCTAAACTGCCATCACAACAAGGTCATCCGAACAAAAAGGCGCATTTCCACCGAAGTGGTCAGAGTCGCTGGTAATAGTCATCGCTATAGTCATCGCAATGAACAGCTCCCTCTAGATCGTCGAAACTTATCATCTTCTCTTCTTCATTGCTGGTACAATGTCGGATCGATCATGATCATGGAGATGACCGTGTTAAAGGGGCAGCCTATGCATAAACATGATCAGGGGCAGCCAAGGAGTAACAAGTGAACTACTTGTCGTAAGCACAGCTCCTGTGGCAGCAGAGCCCAAAGCTGTTGGCAAAGCAGTGGGAGCTTTGAACTCCATCTTTACCATCTTCACGGAACATATGTAAAGGTAACCGACTAGGGCCGGCTTCATGTCGACAAGGTCAACAAGGCGCGCACAGGATCATCGTGAAAGCACAGCCTCCATGTGCCGAGGCCTACATCTCCGAATGACATTCCATACTGCATCCTCTAATGGGTCCGGGATCTCGAAAGTCTGTGGCTCCTGAACCGTGGAGGAAGAACCCAAAGTCATCGACACAAAGCCTTCGGCTGATCCATTTAGCGACGCTGCAGCAGATCCTGGTGGTTATGTCTGCGGATTCGGGCTACAAGGATCGCTACAGAAACTAAACGAAGCGCATCCGAGGAGTTTCCCACCCTATACCGAAAATCTTAGACCGGATACACAGTTTTTCTTGAGATGCCGTATGCGAGGACACTTTCGGTCAAGGTCTGGGAGGAAAACAGCATGACCCAGATTTATGCTTTAAGCAGGCAGGGTCTAAGCCTCGCAAAGCCATATGCGCTAAGGCTACTTGTTTCGATCAAGGGAACCTTCGTAGGGCCCAGGGGCAGCTTTAGATGCTGCCAGGAGTTCTCGAGACCCTTGCAAAGCGAGCAGGGGAATCACAAAAGGGCTCGCAGTCCCTATGGGGGTTCTTCAAGGTAAGAACCCTGCCGCTCTGGTTCTGTATGTGTTTCCTGTGTTTTTGTGAAACTTCCATTTACATCCCACTGGAAGTGATAAGACCGACACACTGGTGCTGAAGGCGGGCGAGAATGAAATTGTTGTTTCGCACAGAACACCAGAGCCATTATGGTGATATGCGCACATTGATCCAATCATGTGCTCTTAGCTGCAGAAAGTGACTCAAAACTGTTGACACCACAAGTACAGCGACCCCAAAAGAAGCGTCTGAGGTAAATCCTGCAACACCTGATGGTGCCCAGAGTCGGCAGCGGAGCTCCGACTCGGTGCGCAGCCTCGCTGTGTGGCGGTGGCGCAGTGCAGCGGCGAAAGCTGCGCCTTCTCTTCAGCTTTCGGGTTCGGGGTCACTGTTTGGGATTTCGAGGCTTTGACAGCTTGGGGTTGAAGGCTTTCGGACCTCAACAATCGATATCCGATAATTACGACATTTGTTGACTTGCACTTCTTGAAGAAGCTACAGTAGCGACCGGAGTGCTGTCATCCAGTCCAGATTTCAAGGACTATGGTTTCGCAACATGCATTGACATCAGGCTATTGACCACGATGCTGATGCTGGCGACAGTTGCAAGATGCTGAATACAAAGATGGCCACGTCAACAACATGTGATGGTGATGGCACGAGCGAAAAGCTGACAGTTGTGCCCAGTTGCCAGGAACTTTTCCCAGCTGCTCCGGGGGTGGAAACCCTACCAGGAAGTCATCCGCATCCGGAAAGGCCTCGCTCACATCGTCCTTGGTCGACTGAAACGCATTGTAGTGAATCAGCGTAGATTCCTATATGCGTGAATTCAGTTCACAGATGATCTTCTTCTGACAATGCAAGAAGTGTAGGACTCTACTTGAACTCCTTGCCTACGCCGGCCCTTGCAGTTCCTGTCACGTACTTAATGCGAAGCCCTGAAGAAAGTAATCTTCAAAGCCATCTCAGAGGTCTTGGTGCTGGCGGTCTTGAGCCAAACCGAATAAAACAACATGTATTCACCCGGCCAGTGGGTGGTTTCCACGGAGTCGCTGCACACTAGCGGCTAGCGAGTTCCTTAATCTCTCTCGGCTGTGGCTTCTTCGCAGCCAATGCATCAAAAGCTCTGCCCGCAGGCGTTGCAGCTCCTCGCCGAGCGAGTGTGGCTCAGGGTCTTGGCCTACTGCCTACCCATCGTGTTGGGGCTCTGCGGGGCTCCTCCAGATGCGTGGACGACGCCCCGCTGATGCAGAGAAAGCTCTCCCCGAACTCGGGTGCCTCTGCTGCCATGCCTTCCAGTGTGGGTCTGATGCTGCCTGCTCTGCAAAATGCGACCACCGGGCTGGCCTTCGAGCAGGCGTTGCTGTTGTTCTGTGGAGCTGGTCTGCAGCCTGGCAGGGCAGTCTGTTACCAGCATACAAGCACCAAGAAACCTCACAATCACAACATCATACTGCATGATGCTACTGCCCCAAAATCGTTAACACAACATTTCTGGCAATCGTCACTCGAAGCGTCCAAGCTGAAGTCAGAGTCAGGACAGCCTCGCATCTCAAACTTTTTCAAACCCGAACCCGAAACATTCGACCCCTAACAAACCCTCCAACCTAACCCACGCACACGCACACGCGCGTGCACACACACACACTGCTCACTCTGTCATGAGTTTGACGGTGCATCCCTGCAAAGATGGAATCTAAGCATTTTCCCACTTGAAGCATGAACAGACGGCAGCCTTTCGATGGTCGTGGCGCTATGACTTGCAGCCCCGTCGGGAATGTGACACAAGGAAGACACGGCATTCAGCCTCTACAAATCCCCCCAACATCCAACCCAGCTTCTGCAGCATTCCAAACGTAAAGCATGAGCATGCCGAACGGGATGCGGCAAGACGGCCACAAGTATTCTCCAACGTTTGGCAACAGTATAGGTAACCGTAAACCCTAGAGCCCTAGAGGCCCAACAAGCGGAAGATGTTGGGCCTTGCAGCTGCCAGCACGCAGCTACGCAGCGCGGGATTTGACTGTGTTGTCGTCGCTTTCTGCGCCACCTGTCGGGGCTGTGCATTTAGTGTATTTTGGGGTTGTAGTTCTAGGGAGTAATTATGTTAGCGGACATGGTGAGTTGTTTCGCGCAGTACATCCAGGCATCGGCAAGTTCAACCCACTCCACGTTGGATCGCGCTTGATCGGAAGATCACAACTCAGGGTCTGGAGTACAGGGGAATATTGAGCACATCTGGGAGCATCTTTCACTCGGCCAGGCAAAGCTGGCGATTTTTGCCTGCAGACTCTTCTTCTCATGAGCTCCGTAAGTTAGTACATTCCACTGAGGCAGCAGCATAGCAGTGGACAAGAGTAGGCATACGAGGGCACTCGTACTTCTTCCTTTGCGAGTGCTACGGCAGGAAGCATGAGCATACGTTGTCTGCAGCACTTCTCCATCAAAGACCCGCACTGAAGCCCCTGCAAATCCTTGGCAAAGCGATAAGAAACGCAACAACTCGGAATCCGTTCGTCATGTCTTCAATCATACTAGCAGCGAAGAAACGGTTGCGATCACTGCAACAGCACTAACAGCAGTAGGGGAGCAACCACCATCACCGTCCATCAGCGTCATCATGATAAGAAGCCCCACCTGCAAGAACTCCTGGCTCAGCTCTTTGGTCGAAGCTGCCGGGCAAAGGAGCAGCACGACCGCAAGCAAGTGCCAAAAGTTTGAATGGCTCGCTCCTTGCGCCAGAGCCTCGGTGTAAGGGCAAAGGATGATGCGGATATCTTGACGAAAACCTGACACTGCAGTCAGCACCACCTTCAGAGCCCTAGTGCAGCGCAAGGACGAGCCCTTCGAGGGCTTGGGCTCTCGCGGCTTCTGGAGCAAAGGGCCTCCTTTGCGTATCCTTTGAGATGACGGATCAAGGTCCCGGGTACTGCGGCAGCCTATGCTTCGAGTTCAGTAAGAAATCGGAGCGGCCGTGGACTTGAACTCAACATCACGCCTGGATGAGCGGTGATTCGAGGTGGACATGTCCGGACAGCCATTTGGAAAGCGTTTGGCAAGCTCCTGAAGAACCTTTCCAGAAAATATATATGAGACCATGTGCTAGCAGGTTCCTTTGTTAGAACAGCGGCCTCCAGAATCGAAGGTCAGAAACCTGCGAGGAGTGTTTTAAATTACTATTAGTTCACTTGCAAGAGCTTCGGCTAGAAGGCTTCAAACCACAAACCCCCCTTTCCCTGGACCTTAGAGCCGCTTCTGCACACCAAGGCACGGCCCTCGCGTAGTCCGCAGCGCTGCAGACCCTGGCTTGGAGAGGGGATCTGGGTTGTGGACATATATACATATATATATATATATACTCAGTATTGAAAACAAATAGATAACATATGAATGAATCAACAACAATTCAACATATATATATATATATATATAGATAGTATATACATATGTGCTTCAGTCGCGAATTTGGAGGGCTCATGGCTTGGCCCATTGGCCTCTTGCATGAGAGTTGTTTTGAGAGCTGGGTGAGGGCCCTTGCACAGTGCAGCAAATGCTTCTTTGAAGAGGGGCCGCAGTGGGCATGCCCCCAGGCCCACCTCACATCGAAGCTCCAGCACCCAAACACTAAACCTCAAAATGTTAGCGTGGCAGCGGTAATCGCATGGATGAGGGAAGACAAAACAACACAGCGGAGGTGTAAAGAGGTACATACATCCAGCACGAAATGTGCCATGGTCATCTAGGGCCTAGGGCGTGAGTAGTGCCGAAAATGGAAGATGCAAAAGATGTGATCTTCCGACGCGCAGTGCCACCTCTACAGCAACTTCTGCTAAGGACCATGATGACTATAGAACATTCAAATCAGCTCGGCCATGTTCGCGCCAAAACCCAAAATCCAAAAGTCTGATATGATGATTTGGGCATCAACAACATGCCCATGCTGCCCATGCTTGCATGCTCAAAGTGGCCCTCACTTCTTCTCAGCTTGTTGCAGCTCTACCAGCTCAAAACTCTCGAGGCTCTGAGCACAAGAACATCTTCAATCTTCAAAGCATGCCTAACCCGGCATGCTGCGCAAAAGGATTGAAAACAAGTCCTACCGTCCTACCGTGGGCAATAAACACCCATCACTGGCCTAAACCCAACGCCCTAATGCACAGCTCTCGACCATCCCAATGCCAAGCCCACTGTGCCCATCTTCGCCCAGTCGCTGCGCTGCAAACCCAGCGCTGGTTGTTATGACTGGCAGGTTTTCCACAATACCTGCTAGCGTTCGAGGCTTCAGCTATGGGTGTAGGCTTTGAGAGGAATGGCTTAAGGTGTAGAAGCCTGGAGAAAGTTAGGGCGGCCTTCAGAATTTTGCCCACCGGCAGTGTTTCAGGTCTGGGCTGTCTTGCGGCAGTAGTTGGGATTCCCAGCCTCTGGTCAGGGTTGAGGAAAGATACGGTGGATCTGCTGGGCGTGATATTCGCCGTCCTGCAGTATCCCGTGCGAAAGGATGGCAGGGCATGATAGGGCATGTGCTCGCTGCCACAAGCCGTTCCTGATCGTTTGGATCGACGAACTGATGGGCGGGTTATTCTTTGGGAAATGGGGGAGTCCAAGTCGAGAAGTGAAAAGCTCAAGTCCGACCGCGGCAGAGCCTTGAACGGCTCACCTTGCAGCTACACTAACCCAGAGCATGATGTTCTTCGGAGTCTTCTTCTGGTAGCAATGTGCTGCAATACTTCTGGTCTTGCCTTGTGATTCCAATGCCTTGCTGGGAACGACGGGCTACGTAGTTTGGATCGAATCTTCCGTTCGCTTCCATACCGACGTCTGACCCTCGACAACGAAGAACAAATGTTAAACACAACTTAACTTGAACGATGGAGACACGCAGCTGCCCTCCTTCGACTTCCCTCTCCAAGGAAGTGCGTGCATCTGCCGCCGAGCGGGGTGTGTCGTTAGTTTTTTGGAGGCTTTTTGGTGAAAAGCTGGAAACAAGAGCTGGCGTGGTTGTTTGCGTCAAGAAGACGATGTTTCGGAGTTTTTTTGTTCATAGTAATTAGTTTGGTATTGTTTTTGGTGAGGTTTTTGCGAAAGTGTCGAAACTACCATGCTTTTCGTACTGTACTTTGTTGTTTTTATTTTCGGGGGTCCGTTGCGAAGTTTTTGTCTGGAGAGCCTAGAAAACACATGTGTGTTTTGTATTGGTGGCATTTTAAAAAGTAACGTAACAGCCAGGGCAACGGGGAGCAACATTGTCATTGTCATTGTTATTACCGCAGGTATCGTCATCGCCATTGCTATCTTCCGAATAAGCAATCAACATCATGCAAAACAACATCAACATCATCAACATCCCCCCATCACTGCGCAGATCACAAAAGGAACAGTACATGTAAGGCGCATTCGCATGGACGTCATCAGCCCCCTCCATCCCCCCC